CCGCGCGACAGCGGAGCGGACAAAGATTTCCCGATGGCAAAGAAATGATATATATCTATAGCAAGAGTAGCACGGGCGGTTCGCGTTTTTGTTCTTGATTGCGCACTCGTTAATGCGAACCAGTCATTTTTATCCCTTCGATTCAATTAGAACGCCGAGGCATATAGACGACAGATCGAGTATTTATTTGTCAAACATTCCGAGGCGTTTTAGAAATCTGCTTTTCCCGCGCGCGCGCGCGCGCCAACGCTGACGTTGATTGGAAAATAGATAAATGTAGCGACGAGGCCGCGTAAGACGACGATGGAGAAACAATCGGGAGTGTGCCAGTATCTATGCCTTTGGACTTTCAATTAGGTATTCTGCCAGAGACACTGCCAACTTCTTCTCAATCATTATCCAGCCAAGAGAACAAATTTTGTCCGAATGAAATGACTCATCAGGCGCCGTCGTCGCTGCAACATCAAACGCAATTTTCAAGTGGAGAAATCATATACATTCCGCGAGGGGAAGCCGACGAAGAGGAACGAAAAATTGTCGTCGCCTCGTTAATGAGTCACGAGTTATGTAGGCACCTTTCTCGAAATCAATCTGACAATGTGCTCAATAAATTAGCTTAGAGACGATCTTCCTGATTTCGCCATCGTCGCGATCATCATGAGCCGCGGGCGTGTATAAACGCCCACGCAGTTCCAATAAACACGCAGACGCCAGTTCCCAAGAACGACGAGCCGCCTGGACAGTCTCTCGCTAAATTCAATCGCTTCGCTTCGTTCCCTTTTCCTTCCTTCGGTATTGCTGCAGTCGCCACGGTATATTTGTTCAATGATCACGGCGCTTGTTCGGTGATGTATTTCTTGATCACTGTAAATCAATCGGGACAATTGTGTATTAATTGTGTAGAAATTGCACTGCAGACATGAGAAGCTCGTATAGTCGGATTAGACATCGAAAAATTTCTTCTTCTTCGCTTTCTTCCTCTCGGTATTATTAATATGCATAGCATAAGCATTGCAGTGCCCAACGACGTCAATTACGTGTTTGTTAAATAAGGTGACGAGGCCGTTTCTTTCTCGGAAGGCTGTGCGCCACCGACAAGGAGGAGCCTAATATTTTGGTTAATGAATGACACTTGCCTGGAACATGTGACAATGTCAATTGAGATTTAGGAGAGTTGCTCCCGTAGTCGCCCGTCGCGTCGTCATGTCCGCTACATCCTCGATGACCCTTCAAAAGACTTCCACGCTCGTCTCCTTTTCCTTCTTCGTCCGAACTTGTTTAATGAAGATGTTTTCGAGGAGATGTGTAATTACTCAGCGACGCAATTGGAACGTAAAATACCACTTGATTTTCATCCGGCAATGTGTATATGCGTTTTTCTTTATGTAATTGAATGCAGATGCGCCGTGGAATGACATCAAGAGTGCAAGCATTCCTGCCGCGTTCAAAAGCCGATTCTCGGTATGTACTCTCCGACTCGACGATAATTAAGCTCCATGCAGGGTTAATTAAGTTCATGGTCAAGTTAACAGTAGTGGTCTTTTCTCTCGCGCTATGCCTATCTTGCAAGTGCTGCTGCTCAATTGACGATCTGACTTCGAACTGAGATTTCTCTACGGCTCGCATCCTATTATGGAACGCTTACTTTCTTGCGCTCACTAGTTATGCGCTAATTTTAAAACACGATTACCCCAAAGCATTATTGCCTTGACAGATAGCCGTAGGTTTCACAAGCTCAAATGCAAACAGTTAACAAATCCCATTAGCAAACATTGCAGAATCACGAGTTTGCACTAAAATTCAATAATAATTTTCCTCCGGACAAAATAAAGAAAAAATTTCTCGCAATTACATTGAACAACCGTTACAGCAAAATGAATAAAATACTTCTGCGAACGAGCTGACGTAAAAATCAGCTACACGTAGCTGCGATACCTAGCGAGAGGTGCATCCATTGTAGTATCCTTTAAAATTAGCACAATACAATCGATAGCGCGCGTATAGTTGCGGACACAGGTATGCGCGCAGTCAGAGAGAGAGAGAGAGAGAGAGGCAAGTCGCGGCTTTTACACACCCGCGAAAGAAAGGAATGGAAGCTTTTCTACAATGTGGGGGCGGCGGCGGCGGCGGCGACGGCAGCGGCACAGTAAGGCACGTCGAAGAAAGGCGAGCAGAAAGGCGTGAGAAAAGCATGTAACAACGACCGACGACAGGAGTATATACAAGAAACCACCAATTAACACCAATTAACGTTCATCTGCGTTTCAGAGCCATGCGCACGCACTCGTCAGCTCCTGAAGCTGCGACCTACGTGTCACGGATTATATATATATATATAAAAAATTCAACTGTTATCGGCGCGTGGCCCATGCTGAATTACAATGCACGTTGCGGTTGTAGTCGAAAATTTTTCACCGCAAAAGTAGAGGCGTTTCACCGCGAGGAAAGAAAGCGTGGAATTCTTTTTATTTTCCCTCTCTATCTCTTTCCAAACGCGCGACAATGACGTCCTTGTGTCTTTCTCGAAGTACTGTATTACGCCGCGGTTTACTATTATTTTTTATTTCGTTTTGCAAGTTTCTCCTCTAGTGCGCAATCCGAGGCGTTCTCGAAGCAAATCAGCAAGACGTAAGGTAAACGATAAGCGCAAATCGACGTCGGATGAAATCAATCCGTTTGTTGGCGCTTTATCGTGGAATAACTATATGAGCCCCTCGCAAACTATATAGTTAAGCGGCGAAGATTTAACACATAATCGTGCGCATCGCTCTCTCGCTGACTTATCATCAATGTTACCGTTTTCTTTATTTCTCTCTCTCTCTCTCTCTCTCTCTCTCTCTAGTTCATTTCTCGTCGTCGTACAAAAGACGACAGTCGAACAAAGCGAGCTTTTGTAATTATGGCAAGCGTTTGGCTCTCTCACGAATCGCAGAATCCACTGCACATCGGACGGCGTCACGCACGAACTCCGATTGGTGCTCACGACTGTATCTTTCTGCTAGCGATAGAAGAAGAGGAGGACGATGCTATCTGTCGCTCTCTTTCTTTGTACAAACTTTGGCGGCAGCAGCTGTACTCTCTTGCCGCGCGCATTTGACCGCCTGTCAGCGTGACATCCATTTACATCTAGTAGTTGAAAGGATCTCAATTGTGCGGGCGCGCGTGTGTTGCGCGAATAATGCCGTCGCGAAGACAATTGTCGAGGTAAAAGGCGTATCGATGGGTATTAGCCACGTGATCTAGATCGTTAGGCTCGTTTTTTATGATCTTCTTTTTCACTCGTTAGAAAGTGCTTTTCGAGAACTGGCAGCAGCGATTTATTTAATTTGACAGTTCGGCACGTGCACCGAGAGCGAGTACCACTTATTTTTTCCTCTTGCTCCGAGGTTGCCGTTTCATGAGAAAGTTCAAGAGTTGCCTCGAGCGCGTGTAAAAAGTGTCGAGTGTCTCACTCAGCTCGGACCTTATCTACTAGCTTGAACACCTTTAACTCACTGTCTGTCGGCAGTGGCACTTGCTCAGCAAACAGTGTATGGTAAAGTTGCTGATTGATCTGCCAGAGAAAATTTAATTACGTGATTGGAAACCGCGATGTTCTGACGAAATTGTGGCATTACTGGATTTCATCAATTACCTACCAACTGTTAATTAATCGCAACAGGAACTCTGAGGACACTTCCAGCGAGCCAAAAGTAGTTGCGGCGCCGTCGCGGTGAATACATGTATAATGGTCAAGTAGTCACGCGCGAGGGCGGCCAAAATAGAGCACTCGACAGCGGCTTGACATTGGCAGTAGTCGCCGCCGCCGCTAATAGACCGTGTAATCTCGAGCGGCTCTCTCTCTCTCTCTCTCTCTCTCTCGACTGATGCTGGCTACTTTAACGGTATAATCTCGGCTAATAAAATAGCCCGGCGTTTTATTTACGAGGCGGCAGAGCTCCTGCGCCTTCTCCGTCTAATCAGTTATGCTCTGATAAAATCATAAGACGACCCGTTGAGAGCGACTCTCACAAGTAGCTAATTGTCCAATTCTCAAGCTCATTATCGTCCGCGATAGTCTATCGACTTATCCAAAACTCGTTCCGCTACAGTGTTCGATTTTTATGCGTGCATTTTTGAAGTAAGCAACTTGCGGCTAATAATAATTTGCGGATTTTTATGGTACTTCCGATAGTAAACATAGTTACGAGTCTACTTTTTACTCATTAGTGGATTGATTGGTGATTTGAAAAGCCGAGCGTTTTGCGGTCGACTATTTGGCTATAGAAACAATTCTTTTGTCGCCGCGAGAACTGTAAAGTGGCATACATTTTCGATGAAAAAGAAAAGAGGAGAGATTGGATCGCGCAGCCGTGTAAATCAAATCAAGATATGGAAGAGAGAGAGAGAGAGAGAGAGAGAGAAGACAAATGATTAATGAAGCTAAAAGCTGTACGTCGGAAAGAAGAAAAGAGAGGCTCACTGCGTGGCGCGCGTGTCAGGACAATTGGAGATTGATCGATTGATCGGTCGATCAATCGATTTTGATGGGCATGAATCGTCGAGCTTCTTTTTCTATACGCAACCCACGCGTCGATAGACTACAACTATACCACACACCAAAGATTACCAAATCATTACCAGTCGCTTCTCTTTCCTCTCGCGTACATACGTGTTACACCCATTAGAACCGATCTTTTGACACGAATGAAGAAATGCTCATTAATCATGCTGGACAAACCTCGCTTGATCTTTTACCAAATCTAAACTAACTGAAGTTGTGTTTGCTACTTACGGAACTTGTTGAATGTCGTATTAAGTTGTTGCATTAGAATGTGTTGTCTTAACGACTATAGCTTAATCAACCATATACTCGTGTACAATCGTGTTTTCGGATTCGTTTGGAGAACAATCATTCAAATTTCTTTGGAGTTTACCGACATACCGAAATAATCAAGCTACTCATTTTCTTCTCCGTGCAAATGGAATCAAACTCACCATAACAATTTTTCACGTTACAGAGACAATTCACGTTGATCCTGCAAGCGAGAGACGAAGGAAGTGGCGGTGTAGTGGAGGAGGCAAGTTACAGCGGCATCGTATTGCCCGGACCCTCGTGGCACACGCTCAATCATCAGGGCAGAAACGCTCATCTCGCTTACCGGGTTAGAGTACAGTGCGCTGATCATTACTACAACGCTACCTGCACCAAGTTCTGTAGGCCGCGAAATGATATTTTTGGCCATTACACCTGCGATGAGAACGGCGATAAAGCTTGCATCGAGGGATGGAAAGGCGTCGACTGTGAAACTGGTAAGATTTATTGTTTCGTTTATGTTGACCGATTAAGTTTAGGCTAGAATCAATGAGTATCTTGAAAAAAACCTACTCGTAAACATTGCACTCGTACATTCTCTGAAAGTAAATTTTTTGGATTTGAAGTTAATCTGAGCAAAAGAAGTAAAACGGAAATGCAGACAATGGAAATTTGATATTGTTTCGTAATCTTGATTGAGCATAACTCTAAAAAATGTCCGCCAAACAAAACTAAATTTAGGCCAAACCCAACTCAGCACGCGTGCGCGCAGAAACAACCATCTCCAAATAAAAGAATCTCAAGTCGAAGGGCTGTGATTGACAGTGAGAGCCGCGCAAAGCGAGATGTTAAAAAAAACTAGAGCGTCAGTCGTATGATAATGACAGTATAATGGTAGCGCTGGGCAGCACGTAGGTGCAGACAAAAAATTCTCACGATCTGAAAAAGGAGAAGAAGAAAAAGCCAAGTCAGAAGGATCGCCGGCTGATGAGCGGCAGCTCGCTGGACGTATATATACGCGTATACAATACATATGCAAAGCTATCCACGTAGCTAATCGAGGCTGTCTCAGTGAATTACAGCACGCCAGGCTGCGCCTGGCGAATTACATTCGCGCGCCGGCGTGTAATGTTCAGCTAGCTCACGAATACAAAAAAGAGCGGCACTGGCGGCTCGATCCCGTTTCGTAAAAGGATTCAATTTCGCAGGAGTAGAGCAGCGAGCGATCGCTTTCGATGATTAATTTTCGATAGCCTACCGCGCATTATAAGTTGCGCGCCGCGTGAGTCCACGGAGAAGCGAGCTCGGCTTTTTCTCTCGCAAGCTCCGCGGCCGAGAACTGCGAACGCGCGTAGGCTAGTTCTCATGCACGCGGCCGCCGCTTCCTCTCCGTTCGCGCCTATCCTCTGCCGCGAGCTCCGTGGCATTTTTTTCTTTCTTTTCATTTCGAGTCTGCACGCGCGCTTCCCTTGTGTCTTTACATAATTAATACGCGAGAAGCGTGCGTAAATTCGCGCACGCTCCGCGCGCCGTTCCGTTATTTATATTTGCCCACGCGGGTAATTGCATTTCCGTAATTGCCGTGGCACTCGCGCGCCACTTACACCAGCCAGCCGGAGGATAAACCTCCGATCGCTTGAATTACCGAACGAGCCTTCTTGCCGACGCTGAAATTTGCCGATTTTTGCCTCGCGTCGCCACCTCGATCGCCGCCTCATAATTATTCCGCGGTAAACATCGCTCGTTGGATATTAATTGATCGCGCGCTTTCGGCCAGGTCGTTTTCACAGAAATTGCGCAAGTTCGGTGTGTGCAGCTTGTGCAATATGCAAATACGGATCTGCCAGAGCGAATCATTCGTTCCGGTCGATCACTCTGCACGCGACGTTTCCCTCATTTCGCGGAGCTCCATTTTTTTTATATCCTTTTTATTACTTCCATCCACCTACGTATACGTAGTCATAATCGCAGCCTCGCGCACGAGCGATCGTTAGACCAACAATAAACGTAAAAAAAAGATCAAGCTTTATCTAGGTATTCTATTTACGTCGCTTCCGCGCGAGGACACTTTTTTTCTCCTCCATTTGCCGCCAGTGAAACGAGTGCGCGCGCTCCCTTTATCCGTCATTGATTAAAGCATCGCAGTAGTGGTAACGAGTCAAGTCGTCTCACAGTGTGGCGATCAATTAAAGGCCCTACCGAGCAGCAGCAGAGGCCAAAAAGGAAGTAGCACGAGAGCGGTGCGCGCTTGACGATAAGAGCCGCACCGAATTTACGAGGCCATCTCAGAATAGCCAATCTCGATTTATTGTAATTGAGCTGCGAACCGAGAAAAGTCAACGTTATTCATTGCTTCAAGTTTTTTTTCTTGCTTGCCGTGAAATCTAATCGTTACGTTTCGGTGTTTCTCGGCTGGATTCGTTTGCCATCGAAATCTTTGCATTTTACAGCGCGAACATCGTCGATTTTATTTGCTGGCGATCGCGTGAAAAAAACAAAAGAGAGAAAAGCTCAACTTCTGCTGAGCCTCGAGACCTCCAGACCTCACGTACGAAATCTAACGGGCTTTGCGCACACACATACATATGCGACTGCTCGTATGTGTACTCTTCGACAGAAAGAGACGACATCACGCCATCGCGACGCGACGACGCACAATGTAATATAACAGCTCTCTTTCTCTGCCGCCTAATCGCTACTTCCGTCTCGTTCCATCTCACTTGTATCTTTTCTCCAAGTGCACATGCGCACACGCGATCTCTTTCTTTTTTTTCTAAACGCGCGCGTACACAATCGAGCGGTACTTTTCTGCGTCGGGTGTAATTGGAAAATTCATGGTGGCACGCGGAAAAATCAAAGCCCGTGACCTCTCCGTCGCGATAAAATTACAAGGTGCCGATCGCGGTTTTTATTTATCATAGGGTATACGATGAATGATCCTAAGCCTCGAATGAAACGTAATCGATATATAGATATATGCATTACCTACGCGCAGCTTGTAGTGTCACAATCATTTTTATGAAATCCTAAATAGGACACTTTGAATGAAAACCGAGCCCATTATGTAAATGCTTGATAGTTTAGCCTTTAATATAAAAACAACCGAGCTGCTCGAGATGAAGTTTCACCTTTTTCGAGCGCGCTGTTTTTTATTCGACTAACGCGGTGCGTTTCTTTGTCGCCGTGACATTTTTAACGAGATGAAAAAGACATTAACGCCGTGATTCGACTGTAATATAAGTGAGCGAGAGAAGAGAGTAAGTACCCCAAGTTGGCTAGTATTGAGAACTCCTCTCTTCTGAGATGCGCGCGACGTCCTAGGGTAATGACTCAGCCACACACCGAGAGACGTTACAAATGAAATCACAAATTTCCCGCATGACTCTCATACCTATTCTCGCGCGTTGTTGCCGCACTTGATGCCCTGAAATTCGTTTGGGCGAACAATCGTCGCGGCGTTTGTGAAACCCGTATACGCCTGTTTATTTTACGGCGTCACTCGAACTATTTTCTTTCTCGTTCAAGAACGTTTCATTGGAAAGTTTTTTCTTTTTTCGCCTACTGAAAAATCTTTCTTGGCTACTCTTCGGAAGCAAATTCCTGGTTGAGCAGAGAACGTAAAACAATCGATTGATTATTACGTAGATGCGTTATTCATTGCCGTCCTACATACGCTCAGGCGAAATCTATTACACATTCCGTTTACGTCAGGTCATTTAAATAACTTCGTCCGCATCGCGCTTCCATGCGCACGTCAGCGTTTGATACTATAAACAGTTAAAACGCGAAGCATGTACGCATACACGCGTCGTCAAATACATAGGGGACGAATGTGCCTGTCTTGGATTTTCTTCATATTTAAAGTAGGCAAACGTCTGACTCGCCTCTATATATTAGTGTGTGTGCGCGCGCGCGAAGGGTATGCACGGGAAAACTGGCTTTGGGATTTTTGCAGGAGGGCGCCGTCGCCGCCACCGCCGCCGCCGTTGAAAGGTCAATCGGTAGATTTCACTCGACTCACGACTCGCGCGAGGAGGCAAGAGGCTTCTCTCTGTGCGCGCGAAATCCTCTCACTCTGTGTACACTCTTACCTCCTACTCTTCCACCTTCTCCACCAACGCTACGATATTTGCATAATGACCCAATGAATTTTAAAAGCCATTTCCCCAGCGTTTGCTCTTATCGCTGCCGCCTACTGCTTGCATATAGGATGCCTCCTCTTTTCCACGCTCTTATGGGACTTTCTTTCTTCATTTCGAATTTTCAAGTCGGAGATCCTTGCGCGCGCCCTTTCTTTTTTCGGTACTTTTCAATAAAAGCTCCGCGGCTACACATGCTACTTTCTAATTTGGATTTCCTAATAGTATACTCGTATATGACCTCGCGTATCGCAGGAGCACTTGGCTGATGACTTCAATTTAATATCGTGATGATCTTCGATAAGCGTGTAAGCTTCGATTGTTGGAATGCTGGGTATAGATGCAGCATGCCGTAGCATACTGTAACAGTCTTATTAGCACGCTCGACATCTCGCGCAAAAGACTAAAAGTGGTTTATGGATTTGTTTTGCTTTATCCTCGCTGTTGGTTGGAAGCGGGAAAATATGCCGCGAGAGTGTTGCCTTTGCTGCTGGCCGGATTCACTCGAGCGGCTCTCAACCAGCGCCTCTCACAGCAATAATATTATAGAATCTCGTTGGCAGCTCGCGATTATGGAGGCTGCGATGGCCCCGTCATAGTAAATGCGCGCGCTGCTTACAATGGAATTTTAACGAGCGATATTTGCGTAACCGATGAGCTGTGGGAAATAAAAGAGTAAGCGCGCCGCGACATTATAATCAAAAGTTTATTAATCCCTGCGCGCATCCACTACGTGTAACAGGTGTGCGGATACGCCTCGGCTGTTTATTTCCTTTTTTCGTTGCCGTTGTTTTATTATTTGTCTGCGCGTGAAACTTTAATTAATGTAGTCTATTGCACGCGGAAATTGTAAAATAACGAGAGAAATGCATGTTATCACTGATGAGAGAGGGCCGGAGAAAAGGATAAATTTACGGTATTTTTTACGACAATATGCGCGGGCTATTGTAGTAGTTCACACAGAAGACACGCGCGCTTATGGAAAACGGAATGCTCGAGTGCTATATAATGTTTAGTTGGGTCTAATGTTTAATTAGCGAAAGCTCGCGCGTCAAGTGTTGGAAGCTGCTTTTCCCGCTTTAATTGAACGTCAAGGTTTTGCCGATCCATACAAAGCTATAGTTCTCACGCTATTAAAGCACTTGGCGACGTGGCCGTTAACAAAAATCTCCGCGCACTCGCTCTCCCGCGTTGACGTACGAAGAGGCGCAGTGGTACGCACATGGGCTCCCGCGATCAGCGCGCGGATCTATCTCCTCGGAGGCATCCTATCCAGTTTCTCGCGAAGCAAGAAGAAAGCGCCGCGCGCTCGCGACGTTCCCCTTCGCGCCTGGCTCCTCTCGGCGACGCGATGCGCGCGTGTCCTTTCCGTCTTTCCTCCCGATGTGCCGCGGAGCTCTTCCGCGATTAACTTGTAATCCTTCCGATGGGAAAAGAACCGCGCTCTTCCTCGCTGTCAACTGCTAGGCGAAACGCTACGCGGCGAGAGAGGCTCGCGCTTACGTTACGCGTCACTTTCATCATTTCCATTGGGAACTTTCTATCGCGAAACTGCTGAAGCAGTTGGTTGCGCGCGATCGATCGATCGATCGTCGCGAGAGCTCGCCAAGGCGCAAAGCGATCGTTATATTGTGCCTCTACGCAACTGGTATCAATACTTGTCTGAGTCAGCGGGTTACGCTCACTTCGATGAAATACCCCATCCAAGGAGAACTTGATTCGAGATCGCAATCCTGCATTTTCACGCATTCTCACGGAGAATGAGTAATAAGAGTTGTCCGAGCATTGTGCGCCCATACGCGTAAAAAAAAAGAAAGATCGACGTCGGATGGAAGATAGCTCCGTAGCGCTCGATTGGATATGTAGGTCCTGCAATCGAGGGGCATTATTAATCAGTGGTGAGCGTATAGAGGCGCGTGTGATGTAACGGTACGGCGTGCCGGTGCGATCGCCGTCGCAGTGCTCGCCCCCACACAAGCGCGTGCAGAGGATCTCTCCCTTCGAGTCGGAAAATCCGTTAGTCCGCGACGGCGAGCGCGACGACGACGGCGACGACGGCAACGACGGCGACGCTCCGATTTTGCCCCGGCGACGTTAATTGGCGAGCCGTTAGCTCTGTCTCGCGCGCACAGTGATGGACGTTAATCGGAATTTTAGGCGCACGCTGAAAAATGTTGCCGCGCGCGGGAAGCCGGCTGCACGGGAAGCGTTACATAACGAAGCGCGGCGTTGGGAAAGCTTTGCTCTCTGCTCGCTCGCGGTGTCAAAGGTAAGCGGCATTTTTTCCTCGTGACCCATCTAAAAACAGATTGTGCAGGCACACGACGCCGATAAGCTCGACTGATTGATAGAGGCTGCTGCGTACATAGCAAAGCGGGCAGATCGAGCAACGTGATAAAACTCGGATGCATGCGCCTGCTTTTCTCCCCGACAAGCATTGTAATTTATAAGTTAATAAACGAAGAGAGAGAGAGGGAGAGAGAATGAATATAGCAGGAGGATCGAAGAGAGATGACCAGGCCATTAGGGATTTTCCGAGCTGCGTAATTGTTGAGACATTCAAGGCGTCTTCGGGCTCTGCGCTGCGGCCGCGGCGTGCGCGTAGCGTAATTGGCGGTTCGCTCGTAAATTACAATTAGAAAACGCAGTATAATTATGTCACTTACTTACGTACCGCCGAGCCGCGCCATCGCAGGGCTATGCGGAGAAAAGATCGCAGCGGAGAAAATGGGCTTGCACGATGGAAACTCAATACGCAGTATTATACGTACGCGCAGATTATTATTATGCAACTGCATGCGCGATCGCGACACCATCGCTCTCCACGTCTATTGAGTTACCCCTCTCTAGTACGATATCGGTTTTTCATCGTCGATCGAGCGCTAACCGTCCAGATAAATTCCGTCCTCCATGTGCATTATTGATTTACATCAACTCTCGCGATCTTGTGTACGAGTGTTCGAGCAATGAGGTAATTTCACGAGATGAAAATGGATCGCTATGAAGAAAAAAAAACAAGTCACGGTGGCAGAACCACAGAATGAAAATCATTTTCCGAGAACACGTCCTATACTCTATTTTATACACGTACACACACGCGCGCGCATACATTTTCTCGGAAGGCTTTTGCGCACTCACTCATGAATGGAATCCTGCGCGCGCGCATCAGTCGGCGATGATTTGCCTTACAGAAAGTAGATCAGCGAAAAAAGCCAGTCATATAAGCGCAGCATGAGCCTAAGAAAACATCGTTGGTTCTGTATTGCGAAAAACACCTTGGTAGACATTGTTTGTGTATACGTACGTCTTTATGAGTGCAGAAAACATTCGAAGGATCGTATGTCATAAAAGCGCGATTGAAGGAAAATTTCAATTAGCTGAGGCATTCTTTCGCTTTTTCCATTGTTTACCGATGGCATTCGGATGTTTCTTTTTTTACCCGATACGCTTCCGAACCAGTTTAATGATATACGCACTTTATTGATAACATGCGCAGGCATGAATATATTCTTACGAACATTTGTAGTGATGCAAATATTTTTATGATTTTGAAAGCAACATATGATTGTTGTACATCGATACTTTTTATTACATTACGAAATATTTATATTAATCAGAAGTATATTTTATATGTACAACTTGGGGTTTTAAATAACATAATTCATAATTTATAACTGTTATAATATTAGAATATTAATGATTCTTTCACAAAAACTGTCAATGTCACGATAGATTCAGAGTTTTACCACTAGATGTACAACGTTTAGCGTTGCATGTACATTTCGCGGAAATGCTATCTGCATGGTTTATTGCCTATGAAACTGATGCCAATGCGATTTTTACGTTGTATAATTGCTGCCTTAGTCAGTTGGAATGATTTTTCTTTTTGGAGTTTCTTTTACACTTTTATTTAACTTTGGAAATCCCATAATAATTTTAATTTTTCAAACGTCGTGTTAAATACGTGTTATTTATTATATAAGAAGCAATAAAAGTATAGCAATCGAATGATACGAGTAAACTTTATTGTTTACTTTGGTCAAAGTCAATTTCTTTGATTATAAAATTCTACCATAGATTCATAGATTGGATAGAACGTATAGAAAGCTGAATAACGTGCAATGATTGTTTCAGCTGTGTGCAAGGAAGGTTGCCATCCAGTACACGGCCACTGCAACGTGTCAGGCGAGTGTAAGTGTCGACATGGTTGGCGAGGAGAATTGTGCGACCAGTGCACCCCATACCCAGGCTGCAAGCACGGCTACTGTAACGGCTCTAGTTGGCAATGTATTTGCGACACTAATTGGGGCGGTATACTATGCGATCAAGACCTCAACTACTGCGGCACTCACGAGCCTTGCCAAAACGGCGGTACGTGCGAGAACACTGCACCCGATCAATATCGATGCACCTGTCCCGAAGGTTTCTCCGGGCCAACTTGCGAGAAGGTCGACAATCCTTGTGCTTCCAATCCATGCTTGAACGGGGCAACGTGTACGGAGGATGGAGAAGTCGCGGTGTGTAATTGCACCGAAGGTTTCGCTGGACAATTCTGTGCTACGGACATCGACGAGTGCGCGTCACAGCCGTGCCTCAATGGCGGTGTCTGCGTGGATGGAAAGAATACCTTCACCTGCAATTGTCCCTCAGCTTGGCAAGGAACCACATGTCAATTCGATGTCGACGAGTGTGCTCTCAAGGAGTCGCCATGCAAGAATTCCATAACCTGCTACAACCACGCTGGAGACTACACGTAAGTGGTTCGAATTAAGGCCGCACGACATCATATTAACATAAGTGAAAACTCGACGGGCTGACGACGTGTAAAATTGCTAAATAATAAGAAAAACTAAATGGCAGCGGCGCGAGCTTTAATTGAGACTGTTTTCGTATACCCATCGTGTCTGATAATCGTAACTTAATACGCGACGACGTTTCTTAACGTCAACTATACGCGGATGATCGGTACCATTTTCAATACCGAATGTTCCATGAATGAAAAAAAACATACGGACTAATTAATGCTAATTAGCCGAAAGAGAGAGAAAGCGTAATCAGTGGCGTCGCTCGTTGAAATCTCGACGTTTTAGCGCACGAGCGCGAGAGAGGAGAAAGAGAAAAATGAGCGCGCCAGTCGCTCAGAGGCATCGTTAATTGCAACAATTTAATTAACGAAAGAATTATTCCGCTTAGCCGACGAATTCCACGCGCGGCTAGATACGACTCCATCAAGCCACGAAAGTGTCAATTACCGGGGCGTATTTCAACATATCCTCGACGACGAGCGACGACGAAGACTACTCAGTGTCTTCGTCAGCGCGCACTTGCACCGGTTCTCATTAGGATCGCTGCAGGCGCCCTACTGCTCGCCGCGCAGCGATATCTAACAAGGAGCGAAGGCGCGCGCGTGTCCTCCGACAGAAAAACCTAGCGAGTCAGTGATTTTCCCATAGGCGACCAAGTTTTTGCTTCCTTTTCAATGTTTTTGCGAGAGAGAGAGAGAGAGAGAGAGAGAGAGAGAGAGAGAGAGAGAGAGCTACGCGGATTATATCGTTGTAATTGGGGAAGAGACGGGAGCTTTAATAATGCTGACTCTTGATTGTCCGTCGTCCGCACGGTCGGCTCCTTGGGCCGCCGCCTTGTCTTACGCCATGCACTTTATGTATTTTGGTGAAGCATACCAAGAGGCAACGAGTTAGTTGGCGAGCGAGCGCGAGCAGGCGAGAGTCGCGTGAGAAAATCCGAGGAGCGCCAGAGCGAGCTGCCTTTCTTTTCTCTAGCTTTGAATGACGCTGGTCTCATTAGCTGCCAACTCGTTTCCTCTACCTTCGACCTGCCTCGATTGCCAGGCGATTGCCAGTAGGCGCAAGCAGCAAGCAGCAATAAACGCATCCGTCGAAATTACATAAATTTTAGGCGTAATCGATAAGTGCTCGTTACCGCGCCACGAACTAATTGAATTTTGTCGTTTCGCAGGTGTAAATGTCGAAGCGGCTTCACGGGCAAGAATTGCACGAAAAACATCGACGACTGCGTGGGCCAGTGTCAGCACGACGCGCTGTGCATCGATCTGGTGAACGACTATCATTGTTCGTGCTCGGCCGGTTACGCGGGTAAAGACTGCGAGGTCGACATCGACGAGTGCGCCTCGAAGCCATGCCTCAACGGCGGCGAATGCCGTGACCTCGTCAACGGTTACGAATGCGTCTGTCCGGTCGGCTACACCGGCAACCAGTGCGAGATCGATCGCGACCACTGCACGCCAAATCCATGCAAGAACCTGGCACAGTGCTTCAACACGCAAACGGACTATTACTGCCACTGCCCGGCACACTGGCAAGGCAAGAACTGCTCCGAGCCAGCGATCCACAATCCAATGTTCGGACTACTGGACGACACTCTGGGCTGCGGTAACGAAGGCACGCCGTGCTCCGGGCGCGGCAGATGCGGCAACGGCCAGTGCATCTGCGACGCGGGCTACGCGGGAGTTCACTGCCACGAGAACATCAACGACTGCCGCGGCAATCCGTGCCTGAACGGCGGCACCTGCGTGGACTTGGTCAATTCGTTCCAGTGCATCTGTCGAGAAGGCTGGACTGGCGATCTGTGCGATCAAGGTAACTACGACCACACCAACAATCCATCTAAACAGCTACTCGCTACGGTTAAAGTGTCCCATGCTAACGCGATGCTATCTAACACCTTAGACGTGGACGAGTGCTCGACCAATCCGTGCCGCAACAACGGTACTTGCGTAGACGGCGTGGCGGACTTCAGCTGCATCTGCCGCAACGGCTGGAAAGGCAAGACCTGCGCGCTGCGAGGCGGACACTGCGAGCCCGGCACTTGTCGCCACGGCGGCACCTGTCAGGATCACGGCGACGGCTTCACTTGCCACTGTCCGCTCGGCTGGGAAGGGGCCGCCTGCCACATCGCCTCGCCCGCCTGCGCCTCCAGCCCCTGCGAGAACGGCGCCACTTGCGTCAACACCGCCGACGGCGGCTATCGGTGCATCTGCCGCGAGGGCTTCGAGGGCGCCAACTGTCGCCGCGACGTCGACGACTGCCAGGCGCTGCCTTGCCTCAACGGGGGACGCTGCGTGGACGGCGTCAACTGGTTCAGGTGCGAGTGCGCCGCGGGATTCACGGGCCCCGACTGCCGCATCAACGTCAACGAGTGCGCCAGCAGCCCCTGCGCCAGCGGCGCCACCTGCGTCGACGGCATCGCCAGCTACTCGTGCTTCTGCCCGCCCGGTCGTACGGGCAGCCACTGCGAGATCCGCATCGCCGGCGGCCCCGGCTGCCTGGCCGCGAGCTGGGACGACGACTGCAACGTCTGCGAGTGCAGGAACGGCAAGACTCAGTGCAGCAACGTCTGGTGCGGCCCTGGCAACTGTCTGAACGGCACGTCGTGCTTGGCGCACGAGGTGTGCGTGCCGTCGCCCGGCGAAAGTTGCCTGGTGCCGTCGTGTCCGCCGTGGGGCGAGTGTCGACCGGTGGAAACGGGCAGGAGAGTTGGCCCGCCGGCACTGCCCGCGCCTCCGTCCTGCTGGCCTGGACAAGCCACGACCGGGCCGACCTGCTCAAGACTGACCATTCTGCTGAGGAGAGACTCTCTGTCGTCGGGCACCTCGGTGGAGGTGCTCTGCCGGCGACTGCGACGGCTGCTGGCGGACCCGCGACGACCTCAGTCCGTGGTGTTGCTGTGCGACCTCAAGCCCGGCGACAACGACACCATCGAGGTGACCATATTCTCCGAGGCGGCGTCCGCGGCGGCGCGCGACCTCGGCGAAGCCCTCAGCAGACCGCTCGGCAGGCCACTCGCCCTGGCTTCGGTGCTCGAAGTCAAGGTCGAGACGGCCTTGCTGAGCAGCGACGCGACCATTGCTGGAAGCAACGGTGGGGGCTACTTTGCTCTACTCGGGGGAGTTCTTGCGACGATACTCCTGCTGCTGGTACTCACGGGACTCTGGTACATCAGGCAGTCGAGACAGAGGTCGGGATTGACGGCGACTACGAGCAGCGAGACCTCGCTACACAGGCACCGGAGTGACCTCGACGAGAAGTCAAACAATTTGCAAAACGAGGAAAATCTCAGAAGATACGCCAATCCGCTGAAAGAGCAAGATGCCGAGCCAAGAGTTTCAGTCGTCAGACCGCTTTCTGGTGCGACCTTGGGTCCTTTGGGACTCGCCGAGGAGAGCTTGGAGATGGTCAGCGAGGACGCCAGACATAGGCTACCGCCGCTGTATAAGCCACCCTGTGCCGAGATGAAGAACAACACGGCAAGTTTTAGTTACGACAGTCCGCTCAAACCGTACAATAAGCCTAGATTGCAGGAGCCCGCGTACAATACCATGCAGTACCAACCAGGCACGAGTCAAGCGAATCCACATCAGATGATGACGGTGCACGTCTGAAAGTGAGAACAGTGCTATTCGAGTGCTTCATGTGAAAACTCTTGTTTTTTTATCATAATATACATTCGCGAGTGGATTTTTGTGAGAGGAGAGAGAGAGAGAGAGAGAGAGAGAGAGAGAGAGAGAGAGAGAGAGAGAGAGAGAGAGAGAGAGAGAGAGTCTTGATTTAACTATTTTGAGACTTTGTAGAGACTTTAAGGAATGTGTGCGTGAATAGATGAGAACAGTGTGTTGATTGTTTCTGCGAACAAGCCAATTCTTTAATTTTTTCTTCTTTTCTTTGTAAATGAATGATATACGGCGAAAAAATTTAGCTTAATTGATATAGAGATGACTTTCTAGAAGCATTATGCGATTGATACACTTTGGCGCTCTCCGCACAGAGTTTTATATTTAAATGTAACTCACGTATTCTTTCCTAGAGAGGTGTATTTACTATTCGTTCTCTTCTTCTTTTTATCTATCAGAGAGATGACATTTTCTTTCGTTGTCGATTTATTTTTTTCATTCTAATGAATTTGCTTTGTCTTCAAGGGTTCTTAAATTATTTTCTTGTGTAATTTGTAAATATAACAACGATTTTTGTCTTGTAAAACGAAATAAGTGCATTGAAACAGCGAATTTTGATAAACGACGAACGTGAAATCTCTTTTTAAAACGAAAAAATCAATGTCGTCTGACAATAATTAAATTTAAAAAAAATGACCACGACATACGACTGTTTAACGATATATAATGATAATTATGTCGAGTTGTTATCGTTGTACATATGTACATAGCCTGTACTTATTAATTTTACTAAGCCTGTATAACCGCATTATTGATTGCGGGGCATGGATCTTAAAAGAAAAATACGAACGAAACGAGAAGACAACGCGAGTTAATCCAAGATGTTTTAGATGTGCGAACTGATTTATAAAAAACAATAATAACGTCACGCATTGCGTCATTTTGGACTTTGTTGGACGACGAATACATGTGAACTTGATATATATGCGATGCAGAGACGCAATAAAAGTATCATACCGACAGCGACTCTCTGGTTGTGACACTACAAGTGAAACTGTTCTTACTTTTATATCGATTTGACAGGTGAATTTTCTACAATTGAAAGTCTAACGGAAGAATTCGCAATCAATAAATTTAGTAGATTTTGAAATAAGTAAATGTTAACGGATTTATAAAGAATTTTCTAAACTAAAAAAATATAAAATTTTCTTATGTAAGGTTTTGTATGTTTCTAAATAAAATAGGTTCTTTACCTTTCTAAAAATCGAAGAAAGAAGAGGCTCGAAATAAAATCAACGAAATCACGCACACTCGTCTTGATGCATACAGCAGGCTTTTGTACGTTCCTTCAAACGAGACATTGTGATACTGATGGAAGCACGTGGCGTGCACAGCACACGCCCAATATTTTTGTGTACTTTTTTCGTCTCAAATACTGTTTGTTCTCTTTGTAATCTTAAATAACAATTAAACTGTAATCGCGCACTTTCTGTCTTTGAAAATAAAGAAAAATAACAATGCGACGAATCTTTGCGAACGCATTTATATATGGACAAAAAGACGCTTGTATAATCGCGTTGCGAATCGTTTCACCATATCTTTTCTTGCTCCTTGAAGCGAGAAAATAAATTAATAAAACAACATATACGAAGAGACACGACTTCGCCGCGAAACAAATTAAGAAGAATTGTATAACGTAATAGAATTTTAAGGCTTCATGGAAGATTCGCGCAGTCGTAGAAATATACGTATATTGTAAATAATTCTTTTTTATAAATATTATATATATTAAAGCATTTTTAAAGGGCGATGTCTCTTTTTGTAAGATTTTCATCAACGTGTACGTCGAACGACACGCAATATGAAATCTAGCGCGCGACTTGTCGCTGATGAGTTTTTTTCTTTGAACGTGCAATCCGTTCGTGTGAACACAAATCACGTACACACACGCACAGCCGACCCTTCCCCGAATTTCCACATGCCCTCTAGCTTGTATACGTCGTTGTAAGAGCTTCTTTAAATGGAAGACAAGCGCAAAGGAGTAAATAAACAAATAAAACTTTTTATATAATAGAATTTTTATTTTATAAAGAGGAGAAAACTATATTATATATCGCAATTAAGGAATAGATAGATCGATTATTATATTATAAAATTGTATTATTATTAATATTATATTAATGATTAATAATTATTATTTCGACATATAAAAAGAAACTGGCTTCGTATAATTAATTACCTCAGCCGTACCCACATTCCCGTTTTTCCTCGTATATCCTATACATACGAGATTTTCTCTAATCAACTCATCGGACTTGCGATCCACGTGTGCACGTAATTGCCTGCGAATAGAACTGTCTCCACGGTGGATTTACACGCATAAGGTGCAAATCGAATACACGACGGCTACACACGCGCTCGTTTCTTTATTTCTGCTAATCAAACGAGAGAGAACGAGAATAGAAAGAGCGCGCGGCGCTTCTCGCTGATTAGTGTGTCTCGTCGACGTCGCCGTCGTCGTCGTCGTCGTCATTGTCGTCGTCGTCGTCGTCGATGATCATAGAGAATGGGATGTTGCATTCCGCAGACGGGCACAGAGTCGCGCGCACGACGGGAATTTCAATAAAGCTCCTCTCTCGCCAGCTAACGCACAGCCGCATATACTCCGCGTAGCGTCTCCCGGCGCCGTTTCCCACACGCAGCGAGAAAAAGAGAGCGCCCGCAACACTCGATGCATTCAAATTGCTGCCGCGAAAAAAATAAACGTGCGCAAACGTGCCTTCCGCGACTTGGGTTCGCGCGAGAGAGAGAACGCTATGCTGATTTATTGCGCCAACTGCGCTAATCGTAACGAACGACTCGCTTGATGCGCCGATTTCCAATGCTTCGGGCACGCGACGACTCTCCTAGCTCGAAAATATTAAAGCCACAGCAGTGAAGAGAAAGTCGCGAGATTTGTCGAGTAGTTATGCTAATTTCGCTGCGACTATTGCGCGCAAAGTGGCGCATGAGGGCCTCTGTCGCAGTCGTTGCATTTTCTTGGCAGTTCGTTAGTCAAATCATTATATACAAAAACTTTCGTATCGTTAGTCATATATTCGCCACGTCTGTTAATCAGTAATAATGTACATCCGTTCTCACAAATGCAACTCGCAGACGTTGCATACGTCTTTCTTCCTGGATACAACTAAATTAGACTAATAAACTTCAATTCTTATTGGGCTCGATTAATCGTTGGACGTTCTTTTCTTTTCGTGCCTGTAAAAGCACGAAAGCTTTCGGCAAGTGGCACTCTCGAGTGACTCATCGCCGGAGGCATTTCTTCGAGCGACGGCGTGATAGCGGCCGACACGACCAGTTGAGAAGTCGATCGGCTTCCTGTCTCGCGTAATCGCGCGACGTTGCTGTTCTGCGAGGTCAATCGCTTGCGTGTGCCGCAGGTCGTCACCGCGATCGTTTAGATCGGTATCTGGAACAACTGCCTCGGCGTCTGGCGATACGCCAAAGTCAATGTATTATTTCTTTCGGTATCAGGACAGACAATATTCATGTACCTTGATGACAGTACACATATGCACTTTGAATGCAATATCATTGAAAATTTTCATTTAACGAATACACTGCTTAATAATCAAATTACGAGAACTAACTTCACTACGAGCTAACTTCACTGTTTATTGAATTAACCAAGTATTAAATTCACAAAGTAAATATTTCATAGCTTTAATCAAAATTATGCCAGCGTATTTAAGTTAACGTTTTTTCGAAATAAACTCATTTTACTATCAAATCAACTTTGAGTTTAATAAAACATCGTGAACAAATACACAAAATTATTCACCGAGAAATTCATTCAAGGCAAAATTATGGATACGATTGAGGTACATTTCGATCTTATCGATTTATCACATCTAGTAAACAAAACAATATCAATTCTTGATATTTACAACAATCATGCCAATGAATATTTTTATAATTTTATGTATTTATTTCTTAAGGAACTACAGACAATTTTTGAGCAAGATTATTCTGATTTCTATGATAACGAATGGAGTAAACAGGACGATTGGTTATTTCTTAATGGTACTTTTCAGAAAAGTACTTATGATTTAATTCCTGATGAAGATTTTAGACAAAAATCACTAGATGCCGACCAAGTTAAAAGATATGAATAACATTAAAGTATTTCATTGATAACTTTTAAACGTTTTTTTTTAGATCAGCGAACCAATAACTGTAATAACTGATTATTCTGACGAATCTGAAGCTTCGCTCGGATTAAAATTGATCGAACCGATTAAAATTGGTTCAGATTCAGACGACATTAGTTTAAGTGATTCTGTACTGAGTTTGTCAAATCTTTCAATTTCATATCCTATACCTGACGATTTAGGATTAGAAGCAGCATTTTGGATTCTATATCCCGATCCACCTAATTATAAATGCGATGGAGTTGATAAATTTTTTGATTATGTGAAAATCCTTAATTTAGCTCCCATATCTAGTTTAAGACAGCAACTAAAAAGCGATCGAGTGATTTTGAAATTTTACGGAATTCATCCAGATGTAGTTCAAGTATTGGGCGAAGCTTTACTCTTCAATACCACCGTCAAAATTCTAGATCTAGAGGTACAGCTGAATCTTTTTTCGACTCTTGAATCTTTTAAATTGACGTGATATTGTACAGGAAAATTCTCTCACGCCAAGTTCATGCTACCACTTGAACAAGTTGCTATTGCGTAGCACAGTTTTGAATTCGCTGAATTTGACTGCTTGTAAGATCGGCTTAGAAGGTGCAATGAAACTTGAAGACGGCATTGCTCTTTCGTCAGCATTAAGAGAACTCAATTTGAGTAGATGCAATCTTAGGAACGAGGGCTTTTATTATGTAGCGAAATCAGTTGCAGCCAACACTTTGATAAAGAAACTCGATATTTCGGATAATAATCTTGACGAGGAATCAGCAGCTTATTTGCAAAAAATACTTATTTCAACGGAATCTCTCGAATATTTGAATATTAGTTGGAATGATTTTTACACTAAAGCGGCAATTGAACAAGTGTTTGGAGGTTTATCTAAAAATTCAAGTCTTGTCGAACTTAATATGTCCTGGAATGCTATGGGAAAAAATGGCATTTATAATATTAAAAATTATATTACGTATACAAAGAATCTTAAGTACTTGAATCTCTCAGGTAAAGTAGTAACTTGAAAAGTAGTATGATATAAAATAGAAAACGAAAATCGTTACTGGTATTTTTCGATAATTAAACTTTTCAGGAAACCGTTTTACTGACTTTGAAGCTCAAAAAATTGCTTATGCTGTATTAAAAAATCGATCTCTATTAGAATTTCGATTTGACAAAAATCCATTAAGCTCTGAAGCAGTTGCGGGATTCATTAGAACTTTATCTAGAGATGAATTCATTTATCAAAGCCCATTAAGATTATTAGACTTGGGAAGTTTTTGGTCGGCAAAAAATGGACTTCCAGCAATTGAGCAGCTGAGAGAATTTAAACCAAATTTAGCTATTAATTTAAGTGGAATTTTGGAAAATTTCAATATTCTAGGACCAGATTTAAAAGCATTATTTTTTAAAACTGCTAATTACGAAGCAATGAGTTGTAAAATAAAAAAAGATCGCAAAAACTTTGGACACTTTGTATTATCACTTGAAGATTCAAGGATAAGCAAAGGTTTAGAGTTTTGCTATTAAATCTTTGTCTTTATAATTGAAATTATAAAATAAACTGTTATATATTTTAGATAAATTTAAGGAATTGGTGGAATATGCTAAAATACCAATAACTGAAAGTTTAGTCAAGGAAATTATGAATCAATTTCTAGTAACTAAAAAGTTTCTTGATCAAGCAGCATTAAAAGAATCATATTTGTCATACTTTCCTGACACAGAATTACCAAAACCCAAATCAGTTGTAGTTGTTGCTAATAAAAAAGATAAGAAGAATAAGGAAGGTAAAAATAAAAAATCTGGCAGAAAGAAAAAGGTAAATTAAATTGATATAAAAATATATTATTTGTATCCTTAACACTAATAAAAATATTTTCCAGGATAAAAAGAAATAAAATCAGCAGAAGCTTAGTAAAAATATTTTATAAAAGCTTTTATATTATTCTATGTATAACATTTTCTTAGTAAGTTAATTATTCGATTTGCCTCTTAATTATACAATTTAATATCTTACAAATTTTTAGCCTCTACACTATTTTCATTCAATAAATTTTATAGTCAATCATTATAAAATACTCTTTTTGATATATCATCAACTATCCAATTTATACCTTCCAACAAGTTTTCAGCTGTGATAGCCGATGCTTTATAGATCTTCCAATGATGTGTTTTGATACTTTCTAAATCTAAAATTTGAGCAATATCTTCAGCTGATATTGCTCCAGGTAAGTCTTGTTTATTTGCAAAAATCAAAAGAGTAGCTCCTTCTAGTCGTTCTTCTTGTAATAATTTGTGCATTTCTTCTTTGCAATCTTCCAAACGTCTTCTGTCTGCACTATCTACAACCCATATTAGGCCATCAGTGCTTTCAAAGTAGTTTTTCCAATAAGTACGTAATGACTTTTGTCCACCAACATCCCAAATATTCAACTTATATCCATTGTGATCCAATGTTTTTATATTAAAACCAAGAGTTGGTGATATTGTGTCAATCGGTTCACCAGTTAATCTTTTCACAATAGTAGTTTTGCCAGCATTGTCTAATCCTCTAAAAAATGTAAATATCATATCATTGTAGTTTGTTATCACGAAAAATATAATTTTTTTAATTTATAAAACAATTACACTTATTTTTAAAATACTTACAACATTAGTATCCTCATTTCTTTTTCTTTTTGTTTCAGCTTTTTTAGTATTGTTAATAACCCCATGTTTATTAGATCTGATTGATTTAATTTGTATAATTCTAAAACTTTTTTGACAATGAAAATTATAAACAGTTTGCCATGTTTGCCATGTTTAAACAAAACCTGTGATCAAAATATTGTATATGACTTATAGGTTAGTTTTTCTTGCTGAATATGGCTATCCTGACTTGATACTTGTTAAGTTGTAATGTTGTATAAGTATAATATTTGAATTATGTATGTAAACATTCCTACTTTTAAATTTTGTGATCTTTTATTGTAAAAGAAATAAATTCATCATTTTTGCAAATGTTAATATGGGAAATAAATTATTATCCATACAACAGATCCGTATGTACTGTATTTTTGAATATTATGAAAATGAAATAAATTTAGGTTCTTATTAATGTCAGCTTATTGATCCTATCTTTATAGAAATTTGTGCATTAAAATCTTTGACACATTCTCCACGATTTCTGGATTGCAAAATGCATCTACTACCGCTTCAATTAGTTCTAACTTGGATGGCTGATTACTTTCAGTTACATGTTGGTTATTTTTGCTTATATTACTTGCAACAATATTATTCTTACTAGTGAAATCAGATATATTTTTAGAAGTCAAATCAGGTAATGATTTCATATAACTAGAATATTTCATTTTCAGAGATTGTAATACATTGGTTATATCAACATTTATTTTCTTCTTCTTTATAGAAGGCTCTTGCACTAAGCTAGCTATTTTACATTCTTTGATTGAGTTTTCTAACTGTAAAATTAAAATAATATGTTAATATATCATTCAACTTCAGGTGATTCTGTAATTTATTAAGCAAAATTAAATATGTTTTGCATTGAAATTACTTACCAATTCAACACATTCGAGAAGACTAGATTCAGATTGATCTTCAGTTCGTGATACACCATCCCCAATGGTATTTATAACTAGATGTACAAGTGTTTCTTTTAACCTTGATATACAATCTTCTTTCAATGGTAGCCATATATTTACACTCAAACTGGTATCTAAAGATTCAACATAATGCCACCATCCTTTAGGAATAAAGAGTACATCTCTTGGTTCTAGAATTACCATTTTAACAGGTTCTAGCATATTTTGTATTGCTTGGATTTCTATTTGGCTTGGACTAAAAAAATTATATTTACTATATATAGTTGATTCTTCATATGGAATACGAGTGGGTTGCATAAAACTGGTACATTTTGGTGAAAATAAAAGCCATAACTTTCTGCAATAGAGAATACAAGTAAATCATGTGTATTTGATTGGAATTTTTGAAAATATAGCAATCATACCTTCCATGTGTTTGCGCTACTAAATTACAGCCATAGGTGTCTTGATGACAATTTGTATGAGCTCCTTTGCTTCCTACCCATATAGTAGAATCTGAGCTTCCCAAATCTAAACCAAATTGTTGCCAGTTGAAAGATTCTAGAATTTCGGGTTTATCATTAAACCATTTATTCATATATTTGTAATCAAAGTAAAACCATTTTGATGAATCACAGTTTCTTGTTGTATCTCTCAGAAATTCTTCCATAGTCTTATGCTCAATTTCTGTATTGACTTCCCATTGGGGTTCCTAAACAATAAAATAAAGTAGTTGATTTTTTGTCCATTAATAAAAATTCAAATATTTGTAGAAACTCACAATAGTGTATGTATTTCTTCCTACTCTAAAGGGTAATTTTGAATTTCCACATTTCGCTGCAAAGTTGTTTAAAGACCAATCAAGTAATTTCCAACAATTAGATCCCTCAGTAGTGCATAATATATTTTTGAATAGTATTGGTTCAAGTACTTCAGTGAATGATTCTTTTAAATTATCAGAAGATGGACGTTGAAGTGTTTCCATGATTTAATCTAAAAACGAAAGTATAATTTATCTATATTCTATAAAAAGCAAATAAAATAAAATAATACTATGGTTATAGTTATATAGGTATCTACATTAACACGTAGGTGCCTCGATCAAATAATTAGTTTTATATTTCTGTAATTTTGAAGATTTTAGATTCCAGCTTAATTTATTTGAACTATTATTGAATTGTTTAATAGAATCGATGTAATATTTTGAAACCATGGAGAGTGGAGAGTGGAGACTGGAAACGATATAATCAGTCTCTATACTCTCCAATCTCCTCATGTTTAAGGGTCTGTCTCCATAGGGCCTGCCTGAGTCCGTCCGAGCCGGCCGAGATTTTTTATGGGCACGCCATCTCTATAATTTCGTGTTCATGCGTTTCTCGTATTGGCTGCGTCCGATCGGGCTCGTTTATGTAAACGCAGCCATTCACTATGAAACTCGCCATTGGATACGAAATTATAGAGATGGCGTGCCCATAAAAAATCTCGGCCGGCTCGGACGGACTCAGGCAGGCCCTATGGAGACAGACCCTGAAGCCCCGGTCCCATAGCTACGTAAGAATGCGGACGGATACGGACGCGAATCGCAACTCTAGTAACATCACTAAAAATATCTAGTTCGATTATTTAGTACCAACACTACCGGTAGTGAGCAAAAGTAACTGTTGTTTAAAACTGTAGCGCCGAACGTACACCCAACGTGGATTGAATCGCGACCCCCCCAGTTAGGTTGGTATGAGAATTCCGTCGTTGCATTGAACGAAGAAACCGCGGGAAAATTCAAAAATGAAAATTCGTTTTAAGATACGATAAAAAGCTAAAACGTTACTAATTTGTTTTTAGGTTTAAAATTAATTGTTTGCCGAACAATGAATTTAGATGCATGATTATTTGATTTTAGGTTTTAATTATATAATTTAAGAACGAGCGTTATACTATGGCCGATCTGAAAACCACCGTTACGGACTGAAAGTAGCACTCATAGTCTCATACCAACCTAACTGGGGGGGGTCGCGATTCAATCCACGTTGGGTGTACCACATTTAATGTTCAAATGTCAGGTCTACATTTTACTTTTCAAATTCTCATGAATATTGCTTATTGATGAGTATGCTAATGTAAAAAAAGCTTTTGGGATGATTAATACATATCATTTATATATATTTTCTACTTCTCATATATTCAAGTACTTCCATAAAATTAAGGCCTAGTTCCACTAATTGTAGTTGTAAGTCTATCAATTCTCTATCATTTGCCATCTTATAGTCTGCAATAATGTAAAGGGAAATTAAATTAAATTCATTAAATTAAATTAAATTAAATTCATTAAATGTGGAACGTTCGGCGCTACAGTTTTAAACAACAGTTACTTTTGCTCACTACCGGTAGTGTTGGTACTAAATAATCGAACTAGATATTTTTAGTGATGTTACTAGAGTTGCGATTCGCGTCCGTATCCGTCAGCATTCGTACATATGGGACCGGGGCCTTAAACGCATATATGATCTGAGTGCCAGGCCGAATCGAATATTAGCTTGCTTAAATTTGATATCGCTTCCTGACTCATTTCAGGTCGTCCACTCTGCTGCCGCTTCGCATCAAATAAATTCTGGTCATCAAACCTTTAGCGTAACTACATCACAAATCACAATTATAATTTTCAAATAGTTTATGAAAACGGTGTTGAGTGAGGATATATAACAATAAAGGTACTTATTTTTACCTGAAATTTAAAAATTTTTACACACAGTATCAGATTTTCATAGAAAGAAATATGATTGGTTTCAATAATTCACATTGAATTTGTTCAAAATAATTATCTAAATGTATTTTTTCTTCATTTCCAAGATTTTACAATTTTCATTTCTCAATAATATATTTCTATTTCATTGTAGTAGTTATATGTGATAGTTGCTAAGCAAATAAATTTATATAAATTTTAACATGTTAAAGTAAAAGTAATGAATATGTATACAGTAGTATACATAGTTTCTATAGTAGTCAGCTAACTTTACTTCCAAATAAAAACATACGTGGACTTCCAAATAAAAACACATGTGGAAAATGACATTCAAACAGCAACATATAAACAACGACCATGGTTATGAAACATACCTAGATTCGTCACGACTTTGGAAAATAAGATTTTTTATGGCTCATTCGATTCTCATCACTTGCTGAATTAATACTCATTCGACCAATAAAACATTAGTACGTATTTAGTAAATCTGTCTAGCGAACGAAGAAAAACAAGCTCATTTCCGTGCAAGGTGTTTTCACGTTTTTCTCGCAGTGAAAGTAACTCGTGCTGGGATAAGGTGTGTGGAGAAAGAAGTTCTGTAGTGCTGCACGACTGCCCACACAAGTTATTGTCCGTGTGAACGTGCCCGCCGAGAACTTTACCGCCCGGCGTCTCTTGAAGAAGTTGGTAAGAGTGAAATATTCCAAAAAATTACGAAAATGCTTTTGAGAAAGCTTGAATAAACATTTTGAAGATAAGGCCGATTACACGTAAGACTATACTTTTCGCAGAATTGAGAAAAAAACTACGGGAAATCGTGGACTAATAAGGAAATGAATGACTGCGAGTACGCAAAAGCTAGTGCTACGATCGCACGGACGTATAGCAAGTTAGAGGGGTATAATAATTTGAATGAATGAACAATATGTAATAAATAATAATAAATAACAATTAAGAATTACAATTGTAAAATAGAAATTTTCAATATTCTATGGATAAAAAATAATTTATGATTTAATCAGTTAAATTTACATGGGATAACGAAAAATGATACACAAATATAGATATAAAATAAATTTCATTGTTAAAATAAAAAATAGTTATGATCGGAATACTTATTCAATGTAAAAATTCAATTTCGGTAGTCATTTGAAAATGTAATGAAATATTTTAATAAGAAAAGTAAGTATACATATCATATATGTTATACGAAAGAAGTATTCCCCTAGAAAAAAAGAAACTTTTTCTCATGATAATCATAAGTACTTTATGATCACAATAAAATTTATTAAAACTTATTAAACACCATGTGACAAAAACAAAATTAACAAATCACTTTTTATCTAAACAGAAATTCTATTCATAAATGATATAGAAAAATATTTTATTAAAAAGTACCAATGGAATGAATCTTATTTCTTTTCTTATTGATTTTAAAGTAGTAACTGACTATCACAATGAGAAAACATATTATTGCTTTGATATTAATTTGAATGATCATACTTTTGTATTTATTGTAAACATATGCCTAAAGATACCTAGGCATCTTACCGAACAGAGTTTCATACTTTACATGATTAATAAGCCTGGTCACTATAATAATCACACATCTCACGCATGAATCTGTGTTAAGGTAATAAGCACATGGAATTGGAGCTGTTGTGTTATTAGAAATTTTCAGATTATAGAACAAATCATGTTCTGGGTTAAAATTTTTCAACATTGCAGACTTCGTTTTTCTATCTCATGAATTGAAATGTACGATCATTTAGATTAATATCAAAGCAATAGGTACTTTTTCTCATTGTGATAGTGAGTTGCTGCTTTAAAATCAATAAGATTCATTCCATTGGTACTTTTTAATGTCTATCTACACTATTCATAAATGGAATTTCTGTTTAGCTAGAAAGGGATTTTTTATTTTTATGTTTTTGTCACATGGTGTTTAATAAGTTTCATTACAATCAGGAAGTATTCATGATTATTATGAGAAAAAAGATTCTTTTTTTCTACGAAAATAATGAAATTTACACACACACACACGCACACACACACGCACACGCACACACACACACACACACACACACACACACACACACACACACACACATTTATACATAATTTTTGGTTATTCCATATAAATTTAACTGATTAAATTACCAATTATTTTTTAGCCATAGAATATTAAAAATTTTTATTTTACAATTCCAATTCTTAGTTGTTATTTATTATTATTTAATATATATTGTTCAATCATTCAAATTATTATACTCCTCTAACTTGCTACATCGGTGTGATCATATAGCACTAACTTTTGAGTACTCGCGATCAATCGTTTTCTCATTAGTCCGTACTTTTCCGCAGTTTTTCTTCTCAATTCTGCGGATAGTATGGTCTTGATTAATAGGCCTAAGACAGGAATCTTTGTTGATATACGACGTCCACTTAACTCATAAAAGAAACACCAACATGTTTCTTAACTAGCTGCTTATCTTGCTACTCTTAATTACAACCACATTAAATTATTAATATGGTTTTATTATAATTTATTATAATATGATTTATAGTGAAAAATATATATCATATTATAGTATAACATTGAAATTTTTATTCTAACGACGTTAATAATTTAATGTGATTATAATAACATATAGTAATGTTTATTATATAATTTATATATTTTTCAGAATTCTCCTTCTATTGAATCTCTAAATTACAGAAACCCAAATTCATGTTTCATCAGTAAAATAATGAGTGACGATATTATGACTGTTTTTAGTGCATTTCAAGATTATTTAAGCAAAGAACAAGAGCTTCGTGATGTATGTCTATTGTTTATTTATTTTAATTATGTTACAATGTTTCTTAATTCAACAAATAAGCTTGGTAATTAAATAAAATTGGTAATAGGGTGAATTTCCCCATTACCCTATTATCAAGGGTTTAATGATTATACAGCTTAATGAGTTAATGATATTGAGATATCAATGTACTAATCATAGTCAATTTAAGATGTACATAGTTTAGACAGGTTGCAATAGTTAAAAGTATTATTAAATTATTCATTGTTTTTAATGCAACAAAGTTTCGAGGGTTATATAATTAAATGAAGAAAGCAAAAGTTCCCTTATTCGCGTTTGTTTTATGTATAATAATTGGTCTTTTGAAATAGATGAATGTTTTAATGCTCAGGGTTTTTTTATAAAATTGTCAAAATAAATAAATTTGATATTTTTATGCAACCAAACAAGTTTGAATCAGTATTGAATTTATTATTTTTTTATATATCATTGAAACTTAATTAATTAAATTAAAAAATATCCCAGCCAGCAAGCTTTGTTTCAAAAATGTTACTACAACGTTATTTTTGAAACATCACAACTTATTTGGCAACCAACAAAAATGTAGAAATATTACGGTAATATACAAAATGTCTGTCTTTGTTTGATGAAAAATATTGCTGAAACGTTATAACTAGTTGCCCGCATGTTACCACAACGTTACCTCAACTCACAATCAAAAACCTGGCAACATTTAGACAACACTTCTGAAACATACAGAGTTTATTTCAGTCAACTAAAATTTTGCGGAAAAGTTTCTACAAAATTTTTACAACATTTTTGGAAACGTTGCTAGAACGTCATTAAAGCATTGATAAAAAAAATTTCGTCTGGTCAGTACTCAAAATTTTTTATATAGAACAAAATATATTTGTTTTATCAATGTTTTAATGACGTTCTAGCAACGTTTCCAAAAATGTTGTAAAAATTTTGTAGAAACTTTTCTGCAAAATTTTAGTTGACTGAAATAAACTCTGTATGTTTCAGAAGTGTTGTCTAAATGTTGCCAGGTTTTTGATTGTGAGTTGAGGTAACGTTGTGGTAACATGTGGTCAACTAGTTATTATAACGTTTCAGCAATATTTTTCATCAAAGGGGGACATTTTGTATATTACCGTAACATTTCTACCATTTTTGTTGGTTGCCGAAAAGGTTGCGATGTTCCAAAAATAACGTTGCAGCTACATTTTTTAAACAAGGCTTGCTGGCTGGGATGTGTGGTTAATGGATGGGTGCCGGTACTAGGAACACTCACTCAATTTGATTATAATGAAGTATTCCAACTTGGAAAAAAGTTACATTATTTCATAGGTGTAATAGCAATATATTTATTATTTATTTATTATTAAATTATATATAAATTATAATTATATTATAGCAATATATTTATTATTAAATTTCCAGAAAATCCGTGATATAGTGAAAGATATTGAAAAAGTAACTCGAGACATTGTTATGACTTTACAAAATATCCACAATGATCAAATAGAAGAAAATATCAGTGAGTTTTAATCATTTGAACATGTATTCTCATATACACGTATATAAAATGTACTAATCACAATATATATTTTCTTTTATGTGAAATAGTTATACAATATTGTTTCAAAGCTCGTAACTCATTTGAAGATATTCAGCAACATTATAAAAAATTATCGATTCTCATACCAAAAGATCAGTATTATTACTATCATGATCAATGGAAATCAGTTACTCAAAAACTATGTTTTCTTGTTTCCCTTGTTATTTATTTGGAGAAAAAAATTCTCGTGAACAAAGAAACAGTAGCAGAAATTCTAGGAAGTTAGTATTATTTACTGGTTTTCAAGTTGTCTGTTACATAATTTAACCATATTTTTTCTAGTGAGTACCGACAGAGAAAATGGTTTTTATTTAGATTTAGAAGATTTCTTAATGGGGATATTACAATTGTCATCAGAATTGGTAAGTGAAATTTTGATTGTTTAAATGTTAAATTATCAACAATTAACTTTTTGCAGAGCCGATTTGCTGTTAATAGTGTCACTAATGGAAAATATCATCGTCCTATTGAAATTGCTCATTTTGTTAATCAACTTAATGCAGGGTTTCGTCTTCTAAATTTGAAAAACGATTCATTAAGGAAACGTTTTGATGCTTTAAAATATGATGTTAAAAAAATTGAAGAAGTTGTTTACGATCTTAGTGTACGGGGTTTAAATTCAAATATTACTCAAAACTAAGTTATCTGTCATATAAAGTATATGTTTAAATAAATCAGTATAACGAATAGTCTTACGTTTTATAAATTGAATTCAGGTTTTGAATGACGAATTAAATTATATATTAATATAATTTATTACAACATTTTTATAAAAATATATCAAATCGCATTTAAATGAATCGTTTCATTATTGTCATCTAGAAATTCATCCATACACTCTTTAAATTGTAAATTACACACCGCTACCGAGAAACAGATAAGCCCATAGCACGTGTTTGCCAACCTCGGTTCGACTTGGTTATCAATTCTCAGGTGCTATGGACTCATCAATACTTTCCTGACTTAGGTGCGTAATCTATTATTATATACTTTCTGTCATACTATATATGCTCATATTTATCTTGAATAATTTATAAATATTCTAAACTATATGGTACATTTTATTGCAAGAATCAATATATTTAGTAACAATTATATGAATGATTAGTTTTAATGAATTTCGATGTTAATATTTAATATTTGAATCTATTATTATAATATTTATCTTTCATTCAGTCATTTGTAAATTATGAAATAATTATATAGGCACAGAAAAAAGGTAGATTATATAAAAAACGACATAATATATACCCTTTTACGCGTAATTTGAAAAAAAATTCGTTTCGATAACTTAAATACAGAGATATAAATTATTTAACATTTTTCTTCAAAAATTTTCAATTGTTTATAACTTTTGATATAATTATTATAATGATCTAATAATCCATACTTAAATACACTACCATATACGCAATATGTATTTCCATGTATTTTGCTATGTTAAATCCGAATCCGCAGTCAGTTTAACCTCACCACGTGAGGATCAACGGCATTTGAAAGTTAAATTCAGGAAAAAGTAGTTTTAAAAAATGTAACTAGTGTTTCTATGGTTTTGAGGGTTGCTGAATCTAAATCTAGAGTCTGTTTTATCTCAACATGTTTGAATCAAGGTCATTTCTAAGGTCAAATGTGCATATTGTGCCAAAAGTTAAATTTTGATTGCAGATTCTGAAAGTACGGAAAATGTTATATTCAAGTATAATATTTTTAATTTTTTTTTATCACGACTTTGTATATCATTTCTAGGTCATTGATTGTTAATATTTTGAGAATCAGTATAGCGATTTCAAAAATAGAAAAGTATGCCTTTGTGAAATCAGGCAATTGTTTGAATGTAAATAGTTGTATGAAAATGATCCTGATGTGATCAAATTGACTGCGGATTCGGATTTAGCTTGGCAAAATATATGGGAATATATGTATGTCGTTTTTGATATAGACCACCTTTTTTGTGTCTGTCTTGTGTGAGTAATGTAAACTTATCATCTCTTTTATAGGTGTATGTACAAACTTTTCACAAGCTTGTATATAAATTCTATTTTATCAGAAAATAGGTAATTATTATCATTAAAAAGCATTAAAAAGTAAAGTTTAGTATGAGACATTCTATTTGCATTTCTCTCATTTATTAGAACGTATTGAAGCTATTGCATTACTGGCATTTGTTATTTTAGCAATTATGTTTTTTTAATTTGAAAAGAAAGGGCAGAGTGGATTGAGCTGTCACAATACAAATGTCTGAATAAGAGTCATTGATTTTTATAACTAGTTAAGATCTTTGATTAGGCTCAGTAAGGAAAGCATAATAGTATCGTCTAATAAAAATAAAAATTGGAATATTGTTTTTCAACTACAATCGACACAAAATAGAATGAAAGATAATATATATTTTTTTACAATTATACAGTATACTTTTTAACTATGAAAAACATATATTTCGAAAATTTGTTGCCACTGGTTTCCTAAGAATAACCAGTTAATTGTATAATGACAATCAACAATGTTGAATAAATAAGGAATAAGTAAGGATGACAAAGCTCATTGATAGTATATGTGCATAATATGATGTGTAATACAGAATTCTATATTTATAAGATAAGTTGATACAACGATGTATGATGAGTTATTGATGAAAATAATGAATGTAAAATTATAACATTTTTAATAGCGCAGTCTTATTCGTTTCTATTCCAAGATTAGTTAGTCCTTTGTTCATGGCTTCAATACTTTCTTGAGAAAGAAGTTTTAATGGAGCTCGCGGAGGACCCATAAATAAATCTGTAGTAATGCTCATTGCAATTTTCATAGTTGAAACCCATGAGCCTGCATAAAAAGTGTTGAAAACTTATTTATATTTGTCAAAATATTTATAATATATATCAAGAATTTCAACTACAGCAATATTTTACTAATTTTGTCAATAATTAAAAATACGTATATAAAAATATATTAAGGCTAAATGTACCATATCGAGTTATTTCATTTATGACTTTATTGATATATTCTTGACTTTTTCGAGCACTAGTTAAGTCAACATTGCCTTTACCAAATTCAATAAGTTCAAGAGCTGGCTCTTGCAGAAAGTTAAGTGTCGTCATGATATACGATTCCATTCCTACGGCACATCCACTGAGCATCATCTACAATATATTTATACATTTTGGAGTTGAAAAATTTGTCGAATAAGACATAAATTTTTGATTTACCATGTCTCCAGCAAGAAACAAATTGTAATTATCGTTAACTTGTTTTGCATGTACAGCTCGTTCTAAATCAGTTTTAATTCCAGCAAAAGTGGGTATTTTACCACTTGCAGATTTCAATAGCTGTCCCATGTCAACTGTACGATCATATAATAAAAATGACTATAAAATGTAAATACCTGTCAATCAAACACTAATGTATTTGAAAATACAAAATTATTACCATTAACGTTCGAAGCTTTTGGAAAATCGTAATAGAATAGTGGTGTTTTTGGAGCAGATTCTCCAACCAATCGCAAATATTCAGTTAATTCGCATACCGTTGTCGGTTTGAAATATAATTCAGGCAAACATAAAATTGAATCAGCGCCGATATTTTCTGCGTGAGTTGCCTGTAAAAAAATGATGATAAAATCAGTTAAATTTCAATTATATAACTGAATTCCGTAACGTTAGCAATTTATATATATTCTCACGAGTTGTTCAACATCTTTCAAAGGTGCTCCTCCAACTTGTACCATCAAATGTTGACTGGTTTCTTTTACAGTGCTAGCCCAAGCTTCTGTAATACTTTTTCTTTCCTCCACTGTTAAACTTGTTCCTTCTCCAGTACTACCATTAACTTAAAAATAATATGTTTTATTTTTACCGCGACGTATATCGAAATCGTGTTTAATTATTATTTATTTTGATTAATTAGTTAAATGTGTTGAATCGATTTAGCCGTAAAATGCATAACATTTTCGGATTTACTAAACTTACCTAATATGCCATTGATTTTTTTAGATTTTAAATATCTAGCATAATCCGGAACGATCGATAGGTTCAGACTGCGACTCCTTAAATATTACACTGTTTATCAGTCATTATTTATAAATAACAAACTCTACATAGCAGAAAAATACTTAGTTAATTACTCATTATTGTTGATAGGTGTAAAAACAGGAACAATGAGCCCCTTATAAGAAAAACTAATTGTCTAGATAGATCGGTGAGTAAAAATATTACATTTCAGTTGATCAAACAATAAATATCTGTTAATATTTCTTTAAAAGACTTACCTTCATAGTGACCGTTATGTTTCACCTTGTCGTCTCGAACGATCGAATAGCAGACACCGACGACTATGCTAGAGAATATCTGGCGGTGCCCTGCCATAAGCCTTAGTGCAATTTGATACATTCTACTCTTACGCGTACATGCTTTACGCTATAAGCCGTTGGTGGAGCAGTCATTGAGAAAACATATAAAGTCACAGCGACTACACAATCGATTCTCGCAAAAAAACATCTTTTTGTACCCCGCAAGCATACTTTAGGACGTAATGCAATATGTAATATAATATTCAATCGAACTAGATAATTATTAAAAAGTAACAGTAATCCAAACTGTAATATCTTACATAAATTATGCGCGTAAAGCCTTAGTCAATATGATATTGATTTCTGCATACGATTTTGGAAACTTGATGCGAATTTGCCAATCATTTAATAAGAATTTGTATAGATCATCGTATCAAATTTAAAATCGGTAATGCCGGTATAGCAACGTGAATGTTGGCACTTGCATCCGACTTCGTTGTTCATGTACATAAGTAATTAATTAAGCCATGTTACTTCATATTCACATAACTATCTTATATTTTTAGGTTTTTATTTTAAAACATTTATTCATTTTAAGACATTTTCAATGCAGGAATTTTATTTACTTTCAATCCTGCTTCGGTCAGACCCTTAGCCATCGTTTCAATATTTTCTTTTGTTAGAACTTTGAGTGGAGCTCGAGGAGGTCCCATTGATAAATTTGTAGTCAAGTTCATAGCTACTTTCATAGTTTCTACCCAACTTCCTAACATAAATAACACTTATGATTGTTAAATATGGCTGTGTATACAATCGAATCTTATACAGTACTACGTGATTTTCATACCATATTGAGTAACTTCCTTAACAATTTTGCTGATGAATTCTTGGTTTTTACGAGCACTTTTTAAATCTCGGTCACCCTTACCAAATTTGAGTAGTTCTAGAGCAGGCTCCGGAATAAAATTCAAACTTGTCATTATAAACGAATCCATGCCAAGTGTACAACCAGCAGACATTAGCTAAATGATAAAGATTATGTGTCATTTTCAATTGAAACGTTGTTTGAGAAGTTTGTAAACTCAACTTACGACATCGCTACCAAGAAAAACTTCTAGTCTACTATTTGCCGCAGCAGCTTGACAGCCTTCAGCTAAATCATTACTTGTAAATTTGATTCCGCAGAATGTTGGAACCTTTTCTCCTACTGACTCCAGAAATTTAACCATATTTACTGCAAAATTAAATTTGTTTGGTAGCAGAGTCGATTTTAAAAAAAATTTTATTTCATGTAAAGATGCTTACTATTCACCGAAGAAAGCATAGGAATGTGATAGTATAAAAGTGGAGTTTTTGGCGCCGATGCACCAACAGTATATAAGTAATCAGTAAGCTCTTCGATATTGCATGGCTTAAAATACAATTCTGGTAAACATAAAATAGAATCCACTCCAATTTTTTCCGCATGCGCAGCCTTTGAATAATAGATATATATTGTACATTTAACAATATTATTTTACTATTAAATTCAATTTACTTTTATCCTTATAGCATATAATTAGAAAGAACTTTCTGTTGTGATTGTACGATTTTTTTATAACGTATTGCTTACAAGTTCTTTTACATCCTTCAAGGCGGCTCCTCCAACTTGAACCATAAGGTGTTGCTTGGTTTCTTTGACAGCAGTTACCCATGTTTCCGCCACATTTTTTCTTTCATCGAGAGATAAAGATGTACCTTCTCCTGTAGTTCCATTAACTATACATGCGTTTCAATTAATATTTGTCGTGTGAATGAAATCAACAATGAAATGACTCGATAAATAATCAGAAATTAAGAAACATACCTAAAATTCCATTAATATTTTTTGAGGCCAAAAATTTTGCATATTGTGGTATTATCGATATGTTTAAACTCCTATTTATGAAAAATAGTCTTATTTATATATTTTATGTTAACATTTTATAGTATTATCACGCTTACTCATCATTATTGAAAGGTGTGAAGACGGGCGCAATGAGACCTCGAAATTGGAAATTTACATTCTGTAAGATGTAGTAACGTATACATTTCATTTTATGCAATTACTTTACGTTTTACATATCAATAAATTATGATGCAATATTCAACAAGCATAAAAGTGAAAGGTCGGTAATAAACAATCTCATTTTTTAATATAATAACTTCATCTAATTTTTTTACCGATATGAAATTTATATAATGTCTATTACTTTTGTTAGCTTGGTCTTGTATTTAACAAAATTTTAGATAGGAAAAATAAAATTGTTTAATAGAGCGTTAAAAAGCTTGGTTGCGATAACTGTTATTTTAACCATTATTTTTATAGTAGGAAAACATGAATTTGGTCCTAGTTTATCTAGATTTTTTATAATAAAATTTGAATAACTTACCGGCATTTCGGCGAATATATAAATTTACTTAAATGCTGATGCAGTGGTATTAACAAAGAGAAAGTGACTGCGTCACTTGTACTGATTACATGAGAGAACGTAAACAACTTGTGCTTGAATTACATAGATAAGATTATTATCCAAAAACTCAAAAGAATGGAATATCAAATCAGTTAATAATTTTGTAATATATGCTATTTTTCTCGTATCAGATCGTAAATTTGGGTAGTTTATGTTGGATTGTAAGGCTTGAAAAAATACATAAAACTTTAATTATCGTATACACGTAATTAACTTGACTTTTATTTAAATTATTTTCTTAACTATATAATTTATGTTACTCATATAGATAGATGTATATTACGTAAGAAATAATTATTTCTAATAAAATATATTTGCGATTAAATATTTTGTAAACAGAAACGTAAAGTATCTGAATATTGCCACGTTCCAAGTTATCGAGATGTACAATTATTGCGGAGAATATTACACGATTTCTACAGAAGTAAACGCGCCAATTTCAACTTTGGATAGCATAATAAATTCAAATTTTTTACCATACTATAATATTTCAATTGGTTATATTTTTAATTTAAAAAGCTGTTTCCTTATTTAAACATCTACTTGAACAGTTGTTCTATTATTTAAAATAAATTAAAAAGAACGCTATGAAAAGTAAGTTTGTAGAGAGTTTAATAAATAAACCTTATATTAGAATTTTGTAAAAATGCTCTTTATTTTTATTTACACGTAGATGCATCAACAATGTTAATCATAATGAATAGTTATTGTAATAACTATAAGTAATAGCGATTTTCATAATCTAAATGGCCGCATGCTTTGGGTTATACGTTTGTATAGTCAATATTTATTAATATTTTTATTGTTTTATCTGAAACAAATGGAGAAAAACTACTCGGTAAAATACGCCAAAGTATATTATTCTCTATGTAATTATATGCTACGGCAAGAGTTACAGTGTATTTCAATTATTAATTCTACTATGCATTCACAAAGAATACAGAATAATTTTTTATTCCGCTATATTATTTTTTTAATTAACCGAATTCCCACGTTATTTTAATAAAAACAAGCACATTCCAAATTTGTTCAATTTATTTACCAAACAGTCTCTGGCGCATCACATGTGAATACATTTCGGAATGTGACTTACCTTTTTTAATAATTTTATGTGAACTTTTTCCACGGGTAAAATTCTGTTATATGACATGTCATTTGTTTCTGAACATTAGTTGTATAACAATAATTCCTTTCATTATAACTATTTTTTTTCATCGACGAAGCGTATGCATTCCCAAGTTGCAAAGCAAAATGTTAGAAAAGCGGATGTAGTGTACAATATTCACCGTGTATGTGATCAAGTGTTTGGTTTGCATGAGATGATATGCGTAACAATGAAAATCTCAGGTGTAAGCGAATAAAAATACATTATACAAAAATCCAAATACATTTTATTATTATTTTATTAAAACTGATAAAATGTCTAATATTTGCTTATGAGGGTAACTATTCAATTAATTTATTTTATCCATAAAACTCGTTACTAAAACATGAAATGACTTTCTCGTAGAACAATATCCATGAACATATTATCTGTTCTCTATGTAAATGAAAATAGTTTGTTTAATTAATTATTGAAATGAAATAACATTTTTTAACATACCAACTTAAGCGTTATGAATACACAAAATTTACATTTTTAAACGATTTCAATTCATTATCTAATTTTTGTAGTGATACCTATGTTTTCACTTTATATTTATTTTTCAATAGATTAATAGCTTATGGTATTGTAATAAAAAATGTATTTCCTTACTTTCGATACAAAGACAATATTTATAATAAAAAAATTGAAAATTTGAAGTTTGAAAAACTGTTGTATCGTTTTATAAGTAGAATTGTTCAAATTAGTATTGTATGGATAAATGTATGCGAAAAACCAGTCGCATAACTCAAGTTACAATATTTTATTGTATTATTGAAACGAATCAGTAGTTTGAACGCATGTAATATTTGATAGCCCGGCCAGCCTGGCTACGGTACGTACTAATTCGAAAAAGTGGATCGGATGATTAGAATTGTACTTAAGAAACATTACACAACATTTCAGAACTATTCCATTTGGGTTCATTTGATATAACTTAATCACTTTTTTATATCGCTGTATATGTGTTCACTTTCGTACATTTTATGAATGGCTTCATGTGCGTATTTTTATTTCCATATATATAGTCACATGATAAATCTGCTTGTGCGCCAATACTTTTTTTATGTATTATGCAATGCTATCAAGAACATTGTTAGATATGTACACAATAATTTTATAGGTTATAGAATGTATGCAAAAGAAATCAATTACAAACTTAATACTGCTTACGGTCAAAAAAATGTATTTTTTTTGTTAAAAATTTTTTTTATTAAATATTTTATCAGAATGGTCCCGAATATTTAAAGTAGTTAATTACGTACGCTGTTATATGTATAATGATCATAGAAGCACTGGCATCTAGTGAATCATTTTATTTTTGAAACGCGCACCCTATTATTAAGAAGGAAGAGTAGGAAATCTAAACATTTCAATCTCGAACACGAAAGTTTACTTTTTAATACTTCTATTATTCTGTTTATGAAATTCACTGCTTTACATTAAATGTTTTCTATATAAAACTATAAAAAACCATGAAAACAAAGCAACGTTCATTTTATTAATAATAACCCTATTCGTAGTTCAACAATACATCTGAACAATTTTAATAGATTTACATGTTTGTTATCAAGTACAAAAATCCATTTTTATATAATAAACTATATTTATGTAGGTAAATATATTATTTCGATAAATTGATAATTATAACATTATAAATATAGTTATAACACTTATACATTCAAAACATAAAACTTATAGAAACTAATTTGTTCTTGTTGATGAGAATTACACCTGAAAATGAAGGGACCAAACTATTAAAGTCCATAAAATATATTTCTAGATATGAAATTCGTGTTCGAAATTTTGCATAATTCAATATAGAAGAAACATTATCTACACATATTCTAATGTTATATATTAAATATCTCAATCCCGCTTATTTATCGCTCAATTTCAACTGTTACCATTTCTTGAAATAGTCATTACTCTATGTCTAATCGATGTTTACTTCTACGTGAGGTCCTAGAAATTTGAATATAATTACAATTGCGCGTCGATCCATCGATTGTAACAGGTATACAATATAGATTGATGAAATTGGACGATTGTTTTGAGAAATGTTTAACGAAGAAATTTGCATATATTTTTAAAATAAATTAATAAAATCGGGAAAAAATTTTTCTACGTATTGCCTGAGTGAAAATTTGGGAAAAAGAATTTATAATATTATTGAATTTATTAAAAGTTGACAGTAAATTAAAAATCTTTTTGAAAAAATTATAAAGGATGCATTATGCAAGTCGAAAAATCTGTTGTAATGGGTATAAAAAAGTGATGACGTTTCTGTCACTTATCTATTGTGTATTCGTTGTAGAAAAATAAAAGTCTCTAAGCGCAAGATAGAAAAAATGGGGGTTATTGCTTCTTTTTTTTTTAATATTTCCCATCTTGCGTTGTCATTATGCGTTTAAGTAACATATTATTTTATAGAGAAGGGCATTTTGAAAAGCTTTTAGTAACTTTTGAATGTATGATCGACGAATCGATGGCGTTGACATTGACTTGGAAGTGTACGCAATTGGCACTCGACGAGAGTTCATGTTATTCTAAAACCTTTTTTTTCAACTTATTTATATATATTTTTCCTTATGATTGAAAATTTTTTAGTGTATAACACACTATTTGAGTTTCAAGTTGTTAGAATAATATATATGCATACATTTTTATTTTAATATATCGTACTATTTTTAACGATTATTTAATTTTATTATAAATAATCTTAGAGTGCGTGATTATTTCACCTTGCGCAAAAATTGGAGCGCAGTCTCGACGAATACTGTGATCCAAAAGACCATTTGTGCATATAACAAATAGTGCCTTTGAAAATTCCGTTCAAAAACTATTTTGTTGCAAGGCGAATGCTTATTTGGCTCAATTAATAAACTTACATAAGACTGCACAAACGTGAAAAACGTGTATTTTTTTACGTTTCTTATGCACTAACACGAGTTTTTTCCTTTATATCTGTAAAATTTCATAGATACATCTCACTTTGACCGAATAACTCGTTCATAAGTTTAATAATTAGAAACTTGCAGCAGAAGTTACGTTGGCTGTTATTACCGTTAGTTCTAATGAATTAGTATATAGTTTTAATATTATAGCTTAACCGAGTATTCAATTAGGAAAGTATATATATAAAATGTCATCATGTATCTACTCAGTAACAACAATATTTAGAAGATTTTTTTCAAAGCACGATCAACGGCTACAACGTTCAAAATAAAAATTTTGTTTACATCCAAAATATAATATAGCTATGCATATTTATATAGTAATATCTTGATTCATATATTTTCTTCATGAAGTGACAAAAATTACATCATTCACGTAAATTAGCACAGAGCATCTGATAATAACGGGACTTTCTTAGGTTTACTTTATATTTTTATCACAATCCGTGTTGAGATAAGATATGAGGCTCTGATATAACTTAAAAAAGCATTCACCTCGAACTGCAACTGAATTTCATGATACTATAAGAGATATCGAGAGTGCGATGCAACAAATATTTTGCACCGATATGATTTAATTTCATTTTATTCTTTCATGTTCTCTTAATTTTGTAAAAAATATACAATAATATAAGTTTTACAAAATATCGGATTGCCAATAATAATAGTAACATTATATATTGGCAAAAGGATAACTTCTGCCTCGTACAGACCAACATTCATTTTTTAAATGAAATGGAATTATACAGCGACATCTTGAAGAGTAGTGTAATAACAATTAACTACAAGGGCTAGGAAAAGGCCGTAAGAAAACTATAATATCGTAAATATGCAGTACATCATTGTCATTGTTTCATCATCTATGAAATGCATTATGTATTATAGAGTAGGCGTTTTCTTTTTTCACTTTTCAGTATTTCCTGCTATTTGACTAAGAGATTTTATCATATCTCATCGTGTTTGTAAGCCATAGTTATTTTTTTTTTGTAAATGTATTTTCTATTTTATAAACCTTATTTTTTATGCGTAATTTTTACATTCATTGCATTATAAATGTTGAACATGTTATCAAGATAATCGACAGAGATGTTATTGTTATTCAAGAACGCCCTGCAATCCGAATACGAGTGAAAGAGCCTTACTCTTTTGTACTTTTTGAAAATGCCATTATCGAAAAAATCATCAAGGTTTCATAATTTGTTCTAACTAAACTTTCAATTATTCAATTAAGGACATACAATAAAAAAAAACGAATCACTAATGGTGGTAGACAAATTTGTGTGCTTAGATTAAATTTGCTAAAAACGATCGTTATCGAAAAAGCTTTTCAAAAAGTCGCGTGTATGTGTATGAGTTTTTGTCGAAGTTCACCTCCTATTGTTTACCTCCTTAGCAAGTTTCATAAGATATATACTAGTATCTCGATATACGGTATATTAAGAAATACCTTTTTGGAGATTTATTTTTTAACGTTAACCAATCATAAATAAATTCTTAACTCTCTCACACAAACATTATATACTTGCTGTAATAATCAAGAATATAAAAAAAAAACAAAACACAAACAGAAAGTAAAATCACAATTTGTTGTTTGAGGTTTGAACGTGATGGGGAATTGCGGGTATTTAAAATTTAGGATCGGGGGCGACACACGATTAACAGAGCGTTCAATGATTCCTCCTGGTTACAAAAAGGGAGGATAACGCGGTCGCCCTCGACTGCCACTATGACTTCCACGCGCAAAATCTTCTTAGTGTCGTCTTCTTCAATTGTATCGCAGCTGTAAGTACATCTGATTCTCTGGCATCCTCACCATCAGAATGTACTTCTCTGCGTCTTCTTGTCAGCAAGAACCTATCTCTGACGCTTCTCGAGGTTGGATCTGACAGAGCTTCAGCGACGGGTACTTTTTCCTTGCTGGATCCTGGCAGGGAAACAGAACGACCAACGGAAAAGCCTTTGCTAAGCCGATCCAGGGTTGCGGGAATCAAATGTCTCCTTGGTATAGCTTGCTCGCGCTCTCTCAAAATAAACCTGCCCAGAGTCTTCCAGAATGCTTGTGTCGTATATACATTCTCGTCATCGGCAAGGACACGGAACTGACACTTACCGCTGCCGACAGCTCCGCTACCACCCCATTCGAGCTCTTCGACAAGTGCAAATTTGCTTGGGTCTTCCATGCGCCTTGCCTTGATCAGAGCTTGAGCTAGAACATCTTGGGCCGAACTCGTCACGGGTACCCTCAAGATGGCGTAAGGAATGTCGGGCGAAACGTTGTAGATGCACACGAGGAAAGTGTCAGCCTCTTCCCAGATATGCGTGATCTCACGATTAGAGCTATTCTCGTTCAACTTTATATGGCCAGCTGTACTTCTGATCGAAGCTAACCAGGCACGACTGCTCGGATCATCACCAACGCGCTTCAGTATAAAACGACCTTGACCTTTCCATGAAGCTTGAGCTTGAAGTGGTCTTTCGTTAACGTCCAATACACGTTGAGTTGGAAGTTCTTCGCGATCTCTCTTCTCCCAGCCACGCGACACCTCCTCAACGAGAATGTACTCGTCTACATGGTCAGCTGAAACATTAGCTTTCTGCAGAGCTTGCAGCATCACCTCGTGGGTCGTACTTTCTTGTGTGACTTTCAGAATTGTGTAGGGTTCGCTCGGCATTATATGGTATACCATCAAGAAGAACATGCGTCGCTTGAGAGTTACGCCTCCGAGTCCAGGATCTGCGGTTGTCAGTTTTTCAGGCTCTTTGCTTGATGATGGTCTCTTTGACGTCTCCTTATGATTTCTACAGCACGTATTGTAATCTAAACTCTCCTCCTCCATCCGCGAATAAATGAATATAGTCGACAGTGCCAGAGATCTGTTCTTCATGTTCCGTAGACGAACGTGTCGATAACCAGGTCTCAAACATTTTAGAGGCAGCACTCGTTGAGCTATTGGATGATGTGAATTGGCGTCAATGATACCAAAACGAAGAAAAGCAAGATCCTTGAACATCACTTGGAAGCAGAATTTCTCGTTCCAGATGGGGTTAAGCGCGTTACCCTGAATAACTTTGGTTTTATGCTTAGAGCAGTCTATAGGGATACCAACAAGTTCAGCTTCGACGTATGTGCTGGTTAATAGGTTCGAGGGTGACACGTATTGACCTGAGATGATAGACAGGGTTAGGTGGGCTGAGTGTAGACCGTCAAATTCCTTGTCCCACGGGTTGAATCGCCTGAAATTGAAAGTTTTATTAATAAAACATGTTAACGTGCAAAATAAGTGTCCTGATTAATGGAGCTTGAATCATTTTCCCTAATATAAGTTAATTTTCCACCCAAGTATCCAATATAATTTCATCAATAAAGCTATCAGTACTACATTTCAGACTTGTCAACTTCGTTAGAGATTGACGTAACGTACGCGCAGCATTACCAATAAAACTAGCAACGGAGATGACAATGTACTGGGGCGCAAAGCTAATGCCAGGTACGTACATTAATCAGTTCATTCAGAATGCAGGCAGCAATGCTGAGCCACATATCAGTGGAAATTGTACGTAAATCAAGGAGCCCTCGCTCCCTCCTGCCCTCGTACTCCTATTAAGCGTTCCACGCTGCTCGCCAACTCACCTGTACATCATATGCTTCTTGTCCCACATAACGGAGGGCTTGCACACGTAGCCACACTGGCCGTTCTGTTCAAACATTGCCGCGTTGAGGTGAAGGGCCGCGTCATCAGTCTGATAATTGAGCGCGACCATTTGTATTCCAAAGGCCCAGAATATCACGGGGCTAAAATTCGACGAATCTATTCTCATGCCAGCCGGATAGGTACGAATGAGTTGTGTCTCGGCGTGGGCCAACACGCCTAACGGCTGTTTGCGACAGATCTTTTTGGCGGCACTCTCGTTCAGCGATGACGTTTGAAAACATGCCGGCATGCCCCGTTGTGATCGACTATAAGGAGAAGCAAAAAAGTAATTTTCGATTCGACTCTGAGTGCAGGCAGAGAGCGCCTTCGAGGCGTGCGAGAATAGATGGTTGCCTACCTGAAGGGATTCTCAGCGTTGCTCGCGCCACTAGCCACCGAAGTGGAGGTGGATAGGCTTTGCGGTGAGCCGGACAGCGAGCCAGCTATACTCGTTGTGCCGATACCAGCGATACTATGGCGCTGCACCTGGCCGGTATGCGCTTGATGGCGTATCCTGCATGCACCGGATGGTCCTGGCGCTGTATTCAACCCACGGAATTTAATCGCCTGCAGATAGACCACCAGATCTGACAATTCTTTGGCGATTTGACTGCTTTGTTTTTGCGATTTATCGTCGACTGCTGGATCGCTTTTTATACGCACGTGCGTGTGACCACCACCAAGATAACGCTCGTAGCTTGAGATTGAATTATCTGAAAGAATTGCAGAACGTGTCACGGAGTATGGAAAATTGGAAAAAGTTTGTACTTTTTTATTCCGACAGTCTGAATTGAGTCTCGGAACGAGACGGATTGCGAAACTTTTGTGCCTGGGAGCGGGAATCAATTGATGTATCAAGATAAGTATCAACAAGAATCTAACTCGCTAGAGCGTAACGAGGCATTCAAAATGGCTAATCAATCGAAGCGCAGTCGACTGTAAGCATTTGCGCAATCAGGATATGCGAACAGCCGTGGAAAGAGGCAGACTGATAACAATTGCTCGACGGTCAGCAATGCAGCAGCACACGTGCCGCGTGACACGACGGCGCGTATACGTCGCCGCATTCGCTCGATCGACTTTAGCGGCAGCGGCGAATCTCTGAATACACCCATTGCACACCAATTAACGTACGATGGATTATTAGAATTTAACTGGTCGGCAAACGATTCATGGGATTGACATACGTCATGAGGTAAATCGTTTTAATGAGCCGAATAGCAACTAACCATCAACATTATCGTATTCGTAGTAATCCTCATCGTCGTCCTCGTCCTCGCTGAAGTACTCAACCACCGACGAGCTGCTCACATCCGTGCGCATTTGTTTCATCGAAGAAGCGCGCTCGGACATGAGTATCTTTCCACGATGTGAGGCTGCTGGTGCTTGCGTTAAGGTACTTGGCGCTTGAACGGGTACTGGCGGTACAGCCGGGTCAACGACCATTTTTTTGTTCTTAATGAGGATACGGTAGCGCAACGCTGATGGTGACGGCAATTGCGGATCGTCGAAGTCCGAGTCGAAAAGAAACTTGGAGACTAGCTTTTCGCCGAATACGGTCTGAAAAACAAACATATACGAATTGTTGTATTGAATAAACGGACTGAAATGCTGCTAGAGTTCGGAAACGTAATCGAATTACCTGAAAAATTTGTGCCATTCGCGCTTGCTGACTCTGCGAGCAGTGATTTTCAATGGATAATATGACGGGATAGGGCGAGCTAACGAAGGCGCTCCTGTCAATTGCCTCGACCACGGATCGGAAAGGGATTTTGGTGGTAAAGGTATGCCCGTGATAGATTAAAGGTGAGCCGTCATCGCCGTCCCAACAATCAAGTTCCACGCATCGACAGCCAGTCAGCAGAACCTATGCGATAGGAGAGACAGAGAACAGAGTATTGGTAACGATCGTGATCTTCATGTATTATTTGAGATTTCCCTGGATTATTTCATGAGTCGCTCTAAACCAGCCTCAGCCCTATGCGGGTAATATCGATTTCGTTGATTGCTCACAATTTTCATTTCATTGAAATACGTTATTTTAAAGTACCATACAGTGTCTATTATATATGGGGTTTATATTAAAGGCTGACGACATTAACCGAATAATTATATCCAATGCTTTCGAATGATTGCCTATACGTGGGAAATGTAACAAAGTCACAAAGCAGATTATCTGAAATTTCACTCGATATAAATTAAACGAACGTCGATCAAACTCTCCTCCGTGATTATATATACAGCCTGAAGTTTGCGGTAACTCGATAATTTACACGTAGCCCCAAGTTATATCTCTACGCCACACAAGCCATCGAATCGACGTCACATCGGAAAGCCTGAGAGTATATAGTTTTTGCTTCGCCGTAGTTGCTCTTCAAGATCAATATGTACGTTAACACCTCTGACAAGCGCGCCGCAATTCTCTGTGTGTAAGCGCGTGTGTGTTGATGCTTGTGGCAGATAGAAGGCAGCGCACGGGCTACAGCTTGAAACCTCGTAAACTTGTCGGCAGATACCTCACGCTAATCAAGCGTTCCAGTCTATAGAACAACGTGCAAAGTGGTAAAGTAACTTTGACGATCGAGACTGACGCATGTCACTCAGAGGTTGGCACTATTGTTCTCGATCAGGAGTCTCGGGTTAAATGATTTATTTGTTTGTTTATGCCTCGTAAAAAATATAATGTCTGTGCGATTGTTAAAGTAGAAACGGTATTTGACATTCGTAAATTCATTATGCGGTTGCAGTTAATTGTAGCCATAATGTACTCGCAGCGTGGACGGCAAAATGGTTTGCTAGTAAACGACGCTTTGAACTAGTAACAGTTAGAAAGTAAATTTACGTAGTTAACCGAAGCTCGTCTGTCGCGTTGCAAAGTCATATAGGCCTGTAACATGCACACACGTACCTGAGAGTAAAGCTGCACCGACGACTCGCCCTTGAGCTGATGTCCGGTTAGGTAGGTGTTGTGCGAGCTTGCGATGTAATACTGTGAAAGCGGTTGCAGCATCTCGCTGTCGGCTGGTAGCGCGTACTCGTTGGGAAAAGCGTAATTGTCCTTGTCCATCATATAGCGGGCAAAGCCTTCGAAGGACAAACACCATTGTGTGCGCAACGCCGGATCTGGCTCGTGTCTCTGTAAACGCGTTTGTCAAAGTACAATGTTGCAGTAAACCTCTTATTTCTCTCCTCTCCAAGCGAGCAAACTTAGCTCTGCCTTTTTCAAGTGAATTAAGATGAGGCAGCAGAGATTTAATGAGCATCGCGGATAAAATTCTGATGAAATGAGGTTTTTGAAGGAGCTGAAGAGCAGAAATTATTCAAGAAGAAAGCGAGCGAGCGAGCTTCTTGCTCTCAATATTGCCAACGAGCTACGAAGTTGAAGTAATTAAAAATTTTCGGCATGAATGTGCCTGCACGACGGACGGCGGACCGCGGCAGTGTCGCGGTGCTGGTCAACGGGAATTTTCATACAATTTTAATAAGGTCGCGGCCGCCTTTCAACTTTAAATATAACTCTCATACTCGCGGTTAAATTTTATCTCGATAGGTTGTGCAAAAATTATACGTTATATCTGCAACTTTGATGTTTGGACGACCGATAGAGCGACATTTTTTTTGCAAGCTTTATTACGCGACAAAATCACCAACTGATAATATTACGTCTCCAATAATCTGTAATATAAATACATCGAGTTTCACAGTGATCATAAATTATTTAGTCAGACCATAAAATAATATGTACTTTTGTCCAAATAATTCATCAAGGATTCAATTTGATAAATACTGTTAATATCCACGAGCCATTATTTCGAGTATATAATGAGAAAATATGTTACAGTACACCCTTCAGTCATTCGCGAATATAGTACACAATGCGAGAAAAGTTAGGCTTTTCAGCAAGTGGTCCATTCTCGCGCGCACACGACTAATTAGCTGAGCACGGACTGGCAATAGTACTTATAGCGCGGCAGCGCGACGTACTATAAACGTGTCTGTTACTTCACATTACTTTTGATCTATTGCCAAATAGATTAGCTATTCGCTTGAAATAAATCATAAATTCACGTTAGCAAGAGGGGGAATAAGGAATAAGACTCGAGCGAGAATGAAGATAAAAAGTAGAGAGATATAGGAAGCATTGAAAAATAAGAGCAAACGCTGCATGCGCAAAGCGTTAGAACCGCCGCGGCAGGAGAGTGGGTAAATAATAGAATACTCGAGATTTCACGATTTATTTTCGTTTCGAGTTGGCGCACTCGACCTCGATTAAGCTTTTAAAGCGCTCTCGCAGCAAGTTCGTCGTTATAGATCGGCTTAATTGCACGAGATAATAGAAGGAAAGGCGAAAATAGTCTGCGATGGTGTCGAGGCAATACTTTATCCCGACAGTACAAAAGAGAGAGAGAGAGAGAGAGAGAGTGAGAGAGTGGAGACTACTGCCAAGAGGGTATGTTTTAGCTATCAACACCCAATTTTTGTTCCCGCGAAAATTGGAGGTGATCGATAAGCATTCAACACAAAGTTGAAGATGTGGATTAGTGAATGTTACCTTGATAAGTGCCTTAATTTCATCGTCGGTAAGTCTTTCCTGCTGGCGAGATTCGAGAAATTTGGTGAAGGTGGCGAGCGTTATGACCTGGGACTTGGAGGTATCTACGCCTGAGCAATTATTCACAATGCTCGCAGCAGCTATCGCATCGAATATCTGCTTTTTGTGTAAGTTGCTGCTGCTTTTATACTCATGACAGTCAATTGAGTTGTTGCGTGTTAGCAGACCTGCAGGATAAAATAAACGTAGTAATTTCCTTTTCTTTTTTCCTATTATCAGTTGATTGCATTTTGAAGTACTGGATAAAAACTAATTCTGACTTTGCAATTTTTAATCTCCTCGTAAAGAGAAGTCGTCATCATAAAGTTATTGAAAAAGTTCTTTCGTTTAATTAAAAAATTTATCACCTCAGATATAAATTCTCTTTTATTTCTTGCAATTTCTCATTAATTTAACTAGTGATTGACTCAAAAGTAATTTACGAAAGTTTATTGTTTCATCGAGGAAGTAGTTTTAGTAATCTACGAAGATTATGCCATGAAAGGTTGCTCGTTGAATTAATGGATCTGTGTACTCATAGTTGATTCTTTACTGAATGCGATGACGAACTAACTATTGAAAACTATGATCCATCAGCAGCAAACTCATCTAGTTGATGGAATATTACAAATCATGTATATCATTGACAATAATAATAACTATAATTTATGGAAAGCAATGAAAAAAAATTTCACCAGTTGTTTGCGAAAACCCAGTAGAATATTTGAGATTGTTGACTATCTCGTAATTCCTTAATCGAATGTAAGTCACGTAACATGGAACATAAATTCAGTAAAGAAGGAAATCTATCCGTCGTAAGGATGGACGCGTGAGAAATACTGGCTCGTAATAGTGGAGTTGATGTCTTACCGATTCGTTGCGGCGTGGCATCGCTGGTTTGCCTTAGAACCGAGGGTCTAAGCGAGTTGAAATCCCTGAGCGAGCCGTCACTTTGGCTTCTGCAGGTGATTGCAAGCTGGCCAAACAGATCCCTGAGGTCTTTGCGAGCGCGCAAGCTGAACGAGCGAAACAACGCCACGAATTCCACGAAGTTCAGCTGGGTCTCGTACATAATGGATGTAGTGCGAGCTTTCGTCTGCCATGGTGATTCGGCCGTGCCACTTGTCACACTTGTTACCTGACTATGTTGACCTGTAGTCGTTGACGCCGCTGCCGACCCATTTTTCTCCTTTTCTCTGCCGACACACAATAGGCTACCCCCGCACAATCGTTATTGTCGTGTGATATCGAGAAACTTGTGTCACTCTTTTTTAGCTGCGCCTAGGTACGCAGCGCATAGGCATTATTCGTCTGGTTATTCGGACTAATTCGCGTGCATACATAATCTTACAATTTAAAAGTGTAATATTGACTTAAATTTTTCGAGATCTCGCGTTGTCCAATTACAGTATTCCACGTTAGATTTTTGTAAGTAATCAATATTTAATCTTCTCCATCTAGCATTCACGATGACGTGGAAGGGTTTTTACGAGGTTCTGCCTTCAAGTCCCGACTCGATGGCTAGCTTCAATTTCAATTTTCATATATTTCGAAAAACGGGACGCCCATCAATATTATCGATCATCATTTTACCATGTGGATCTAATATCGCGTATTGAAATATCAGGAAATCATATATATACTATTATTCAGATCGGTACAATTGAAGCTCTAGCATTATTAGCTTATTACGCATCGCATACGAAATGATTTGAAAGATATTATATGGCTTGAAACATAGAGCTAACCCGAGCATAACGTTCTTCGTTGTACATTCAGCAGGATATATAATGCCATTTTTGTTGGTGTTAGTAGAAAGCCAGCAGCGAGCGCCGCTATAGATCGCGATAGTATTCAAGTATATATCACACTCCACCGCGCAGCTCATTGAATTTGAGATTGGCCCCAATTGGGATAAAAGCCCCAGGTTCAAATCGAATAAGCGTCAAATAATGTAGAAAATGGCGAATGAAAAAAGTCAATGTCGCGGGGTTTTCTTCTAAACGAAAATTGCTTTTTGAAAACCCTTGACGTTTTCATCAAATGCCATTGTCGTCGTCGCACTAACTATTCATCAGAACTTAGCGGACGTGGGAGGCCAACGAAATACCGACGATGCTCTTTGGGCGGCAAGCGCAGGAAGAGGACTGAGTAGAGCTTATACCTTTGAAGACTGGCGTAAGGCAGAGTGACGACTCGCTCGGTGGAGCCTGGGGGCGAACGCGGAGTAGTTGCCGCTGCGGCGGCCGCCGCCACTGCGACAACTCCACCTCCGACAACGGCGACACGCTGCTGCTCCCTGCTCCCTGCTCGTGGCGAGGCCGGCATCATTTTCGTCAACGACTCGCGGCTGCCCTGGATGTGCCGTAGGGGCGTTGCCGATAAACCAACCTCTGGCGTCGAGGCATCGTATTGCTTGAAGCTCTCCTGCGACATTGATACATGGTTTTCGCATCAGTACAACTCTATTTCTTGGTACCAACACGATCTTCTTCGCTTGTTCGGACGAGAGTACAGTTAGTGTTTTTATTACTAATGTGCTGTTGATCGAGCACTATTTGAATTTCCAAATCGGTAAAATCGGTATCAGGCTAGCAGTACTGGCCGAATTCCCAGTGTAAATGCCTTCTACAGAATGTAAGCGTTTAATAAAAAAATCAACGAAAGTCTTTGTCAATGTATGCCCATTCATTCACGAGATACTACAAGTACAAGGGGGACTTATCTAAACGCAGCAAAATAGACCAGCTAATCTATATAAACATCGGCAAACAGTGTACAAACTTAGTTGCTAAGGGTCTCTACCCGCAGAGTGAGAGAAAGAGGCAGCGAAATCCAATGTGTTGCAAGTTTGCCTCAACACTACGGCTAGGCAAGACAAGTTTGTGGACTTTGGCACGGATGGACAAGCGGATGTGAGAAGCACAGTTCACGATGGTACTGCGTATACGTATATATGCGTATATAGAAACGTACGTAGGTATACGCATACCTTAGTAAGCGCGTGAATATTTCCAATGGACTTGGTCTTCTTGCTCTTGACGTTCCGCTTGCGCATGGCGTTGCCACCGGTGGGCGATAAAGTACCGATGTTCTCCGTCATCGACCAGTCACGACCGCCGAAGATACGTATCGCGTCTGCCGTCATCGGCTCCACGCAGCCCTCTTCGAAGTATAGCTGCAGATATTTCTCCTTTAGCCAACGTGAGCGACGATCCGTCAGCTGCTGCTGGCGTTTCAGGCCACGAAGAATCCAGCAGAGGCCCATGTACCATATCCTGTCGAGATTTTTCTAATGGTTATCTTTGTTACTTCGACTAGATTAATTTTATCGTAGCCTGATCGAACTCGATTCATACTACTTGGATCGCGTTAAGCACGAAACTACCGGAGAAACGCAATTGATAATATTTTTCCCGATTTTCGATCAAACTCCATAAAACAATATGAATTCTGATAACTAGCAATCAAGCAATTGTTTGTGAGCTTCATCTCTGTAGAATCCTATCGGGTATCTGTCAAAGTTGGATTGTATAATCAACTTTATTTGGAAAGCCGAAATTATTCGCGGCCTCGCACGGAATTGAAATAAACCAAAGGTTAATCAAGATAGTAGCACATTACATATGAATCAACTCGTTGCAATACACTAAAACTCACTTGCTGAGCGCCGGAGGACAGAGTAGAAAAATGAGCCGATTGTCGGATAGATTGGAGCCGTACATGAGGCCGATGCAAGAGTCCGAGCCAGGTAGCCCATATCGCTTGCAAATAGCCCGCAAATCTTGATCTCTGTCGCGGTCGCAACAGCCAATCATTACCTCCTTCACGCACGACAGATCGAGGTAACCTTCTTCGAGTGTAACGGCAGCACAGTCGGCCGGTGAAGCACCATAACGTGCGACGAGGCCACTCGACACCACTTCTTCCGCGTCCACCGTCAATGTAAACTCGTTCATGGTGCTTGGCTGCGTCGCCGTTCCCGTTTTCAATGGGCTCCATGTCGGCTTCTCCCAGATAAACGTGCCGCATGCTCGATCTATGCGAGCGTATACTAGTGCTGTTCGCGACGCACCTCCTTCGCATTCCCAGTGCACCAACGTTGTGCCGTGATGCAATATCTGCAAGCAAAGATGAAGCAGAACTGTGACTTTCTACTATGCTATTTCGAAGCAACGCATATTTCACTTTTCATTCTATCGCTCAATGGCGCGCGAAATAATGGATGGCGCATTTTTCGTTTGCGAATTCGCGCCGAGCGAATGCATAGCCGAGAAATAAGTCATGGCTGAATATGTCGGATAATCAGGGTTGAAAGTACGACTGCATACTTTATTTACGCGTTCATCCTTTAGTTTGACAAAATAAATTGTAATTGTATCAATATAATTTTCGTAACTTTCGTGATTCATCGTAAAAAATAGAACATTGACATCGAGTCAAGCGGTTTTCAATAGCTTAAATTAATCGACGAGTGTGTACAGCGATTGACAAATCGTTTAAGTTTCTCACGCCGTGGCGCGTAATTGGCCAAATTAAAACAAAGCACAATTGCGAAACTTAGAGAAACGAGCGCGATTACCGGCAGACAGTCGCGAGCCGTACATACAGTCAGCGCGCTTAAAAGACAAAGGAGCGAAAAAACTCGATTCGTTTGATTTATTGTGCGGAAAGGCGTATATATGGGCGAGGCGAGAGTCCTCCAGTGCAATTTAACAAATTTGCCGCGCGCTGCAGCCAAGATAAAAAACATCGGCGCGAAACATTCTGCCGCAGCGCCATTTACCGCAAATCACGCGTTGAAAATCCGTCTGCCTCGCGAGCGTTCGCCTGCTCTGCGCGTGCGACCCAGATGCTCGCCACCAATCGTTTGGCTCCACGCGCGAACTTCTTTTGTCGTCCCACGCTTTTCGTTTCCGCGATCTCTAGCCCATGACGTCCTCCAAGCTTCTATCTCCTTTCTCCTGCTGGTTAATTTCACGCTGGCTCTTTTGCGCTCTCTCTCTCTCTCTCTCTCTCTCAATCTCAATCTCTCTGTTTCTATTTTATTTCAATGTGTAAATTGCGAGGAAATTATATTATCTTGCAGAATTAATTAAGCATGTCCTTGATTTTTTCCATTTATTCAAATAAATACGTGAAAATCTTGCTTAACTCTTACATTTCTTTGATTAAACTGGCTTTTCTTCTAGTATGTAGATAAACGAGACTCTGATGCTACTCTCATATCATGACGAAGTCATTTAAATAATTGCATTTAAATATATTTATTTTACATACACAGACACTTTTATCTACACGTACGCAGATAGAGGTGAAAAGAAGAGCCAATACAATCCTATCAATTTCTCATAAAGATATAAAAATAAAGTTCAGTGTTTGTGGGTAAATCTGTGTATAAGTAGGACATAAAAAATTAACAACTATGTTTGGAAAGAGTTCCGACATAGTGAACAGCCTAAATACCTGGAATAACTTTAGAACCGCGTGCAGTAATGTTGGTTTAGTTTGGTAAATTATTTAATCATCTTGCTTTGACTTTATAACCTTAGACAATTAAACAGCCTGTTATACAACATTATATACATTTTAACGAGAAGTTATTACCTCTTGAAAAAACTATTACGCAAAGCACTCACTGACTTTCCGATGAAATAAATTCTCAAATATTTTCGAAATTATTTGATATTTCCTTGATATTTTTATTGAATTAATAGTTTTTGTATTGTGAAAAAAAATTAGTTTTCGCAATATAAAATTTGACTTTGAAAAAGAAATAATTATTAAGAAAAAAGAAAAAGTAAAGGTTCAATGCATATTGACCATTAATAATGCCAGGAAACTCAACGGATTCTTAAGAATTCGTCTTCCGCTCGTTATTTTTCTCCTCGAACAAGCTGAATTTTTTTCGATTTGAAGATAAGCATAAAACCTGTCGACCTGTACGTATCTTGCTGTCTGAGAGCAAGTTTCAATTTTCTCGAGTTTTTAATTTATAAATGCAGAGCGGAGAAAATTGATTCGTTCTATTTCTTTACAATTCGAATCACATAGATCGTTAGACATATTCAACGGTTCTTCGAATAACGGAAAGACTGTTTTCATTGATGACTATTAATAATAAAGTTCACTAGAAAACTGAGATGATTTTAATGATATACAACGATGAGATCGTTCATGTATGGATCAATTGCTTGGAATTCTGAACAAAAAATAACTAACCTGAAGAAAATGTAGGTCCATGCCATTTTGAGGCGCGGCTACAGGAAACAGGGCGACTCCATGATCGTGCTTGACAGGCTGCACTGGTTTGTAGGAGTCGAGGTCAAGATGATAGTCGTTTTCGTCACACTCATCACCCATGTATGTCTGCTCCAAGGATGAGGTGTGAAAGCTCAACGTACGATGCAACGAGCCAGTCGTTGCATCTTTGCCACGGTGGTGACGATGCTGATGGAAGAGCATTATCTGAAAAAATTCATCGTTGTCTTCGATCATTTTACACCACTGACACTGACTTTTATATAGTGGAGAGAATAGATATGAGCACGACGAAAGCTCAATGTAATAATTAAAATGATTTATTGTGTTTAACTGTAATTCATTTTCTTCTACAAAATATAAAGTGTTGATGTATAAAATGGTACCTTATCGAGAACGGAATGAATGGTGGGCTCATCGTCTGAGGGTTTACGCCTTGGCGACTGAGGCTCGGAATGGCTATCGGATCGTTCGAGATTCCGACGCCGTAGCTCGGCATCATGTTGTTGCTCACAGGTATGTTGTTGTTTTTGTTGTTGCGAATGAGGAGGATAACGGGGAGAATCGGCGTCACCACCGATGTTTCTCGCTCCAGGCGAGAGTAAAGGCACGTTGTCGAGGGATTCACCCTCCTTACTGCTAGCGCGGGAAGTCTCTTTTTCTCTGCTCTCCGAAGGAGGCTATAATTCATTTTGTATTGTATATTTCACTGTATTTTCATTGACCAATTTATTTATCTTTCACTTTTTCAATGGCGCGTCGAGTGCCTTTTTTGAAAAGCTTTCAAAAAGCTCGTTACATTGTCAAACAACGTATAAAATAATGCAACTTCCTTTTTATTGACTTGAAAATGTTCGTTTGAGCACTTTGAAAACTTATCGATTGATGGTGTGGATTTCATGACTTTTCAGAATTTCAACAGTATTGAAAATTACAGTACAGTGATATAACAGTTACATGCATACATTGTAAAGTAATCAGTATTCTTTGGTTTTTACTGATGGATATTTAAATAGACCAAATGTTCATCCAGTATACTCGTAATATTTACAATGATAAACTAGTAGTATCTACTTTTAACATAATCATAAAAATAGCACATTATTACCTAAATCATTAGGGTTCATTAATATTTAAAATTCGCACAAAAATATCACCACAAAAGTATAATGAAATGTATTTTTAACCTATCATATTTATAACAACCGTTTACAACGGGTAAAAACGGTATAACGAAGTATAAGGGCAAAAAGAGTTACAAGCGTGAAATTCAGTAAAAGATGCACATAGCCGCAGTGAGCCACGTGAAAAAGATTGTTTGTTTGGAAAAAAAATGTCCTCTGCAGTACGAAAGAGAGAAAGAAAGAGAATTGAGGAATTGCGAAACGTGATATCCGAGACCGTTGATCGTCGACGACAAGAGCAAGTAGTTTCCGCCGGCCTACAACCGTCTAAGCTGCTGGAGGCCGATAGAAACCCCTAACCTTGTTGTCGAATGCCTCCTTCATCTTCTTCGCCATCTAGGTGTTCTTCTTTCGTCGTTTCCATTCTCCGCAGTATTCTTCAGAGTCGTTTGCTATAACCTTTTTTTATATGTATAGTAGTGTCTTTTGTAGCGTTCTTTTGAATAGCTGAAAATCTTTTTATAAAGATAAATCTAAATCTGAAATGCATGTACAATGACTAAAGTAAGGGTACTAATAACACTCGAGTGTAAATATTGCAGAAGTATACTTGATGTTTTGCTCATAAAGGAGGGTCAGAAATAAAGCAGAGTGGATTTTCAAGAAGATATATCCCCAAAAGATCTGAAGTAAATACTTGAAATTACGAGCCTTTGAGAGTCGAGCGTCTACGAGCCTGGCAATAATTAATGAAACAAGCTGCTTCGGCACGTTTACTCGGAGTATAACGTTGCGCGAGAAGGAGAAGAAATTCGAGCAGAGGAGATTATGCCACAGATAGAAGATAAGCTTTTGACGCCGATAAGGTAACGCACGAATGCTCCTGTTTTCTTTTTCTCTTTTTATTCCCTTATATATCATCTCACGTTGCCTTTCTCTCTACCCGCCCTCCTCTCTCTCTCTCTCTCTCTCTCTCTCTCTCTCTCTCTCTCTCTCTCTCTCTCTCTCTTTCGTTCTCGTAGTAATTAAAAAGGTCGAGAGGCATTACTTGCTTCTAAGATTTCGCGAAGCTCGTAAGGTAAAGCTATATCGAGTCCTTCTTTATTTTCTTTCGTACAACCACAGAGTAATCAATACTGAATAAAAGTATTTCCAGAAAAATACTACTACTACTGAAAAGAAATACGATTACTACCATTTTTCACATCTTCACAGTGTGTTTTCTTATTAAGCTGGGTGTGTTAGAGGTCTTAATTTGATTTAATAGTTTTGTACGCTGTCGAGAAAAAACCTTAACTGCACGCAGCTTCAAAAACGTGCAAGTAACAAAAACAAAAAGAGCTTGATTGAAAAATATTTTTTCTGCATAAGTGAGTACTTTCTTGTGTGTATTTATGAATACCTTGTGCGCAGTTGATATTTAATTGGAAAAACAAAAGGAAAAATCTTTTTTGATATTATATAACATTCTAATTACGCTATCTATCAATGTCGTCACAAATCATGAGGCTCTGCGTGTTCACAAGACAAATGTACACATAACAGTATAAAACAGTCGGCATCCATCATCCAGCGAATCGCAGCAGTTGCAGCGGAGAGAAAAATATCATCCAATCTGTAATAACATTATTGAAAGAAATCACGTCTTGAATCCGTTTAACTTGAAGCCGAATGTTTGCTTTTCCATTGCGGGTAAAAGTATTTAAGTAGAATAAGCATTCTTATGGTCAGCCCTATGTATATCAAACGGTCGGTTGAGAAACGAGGCGCAAAACTCAACAAGTGTAATAGCAAAGAGACATATAAGGCATAAAGAGAGGGATCGAACGAAATAAATTATCTGGCGTGACGTTAGAGTATTTTATCGGGGGTGCTCCTTGGTGGTGTGCCAAATCGTTCGTGTAACGCTCGTTCCTTCCGCGTGGCCAGCACGACTGATACCTTCGGAAGGCTAAGTGGCCGGCAAGAATCGAACTCTATACTCTCTTTCCTTTCGTCCTTTTTTTACTTCTGCTCCCTACTACAGTCAAGTTTTTTTCTCTTTCTCTTGCTTCTTTGTTGAGTATTATACGTGCTATTACCTTCTCTTCGACTTTTTGCACGATAAATCGTCTTTCTTCGGCTTTCTACTTGCGAGTTTCGAGTTTGTACGACGAGCGTAAAGAACAAAAAACTTAGTTGCCTGTCAGATATGAAAGAACAGCGTGGATTTGATGGTTTAATCTTTTAATAGCGGCTTTTTAAACTTTTTCATTTTACAGGTGGAGTTTTCATTGCGAGCGAAAGAATTTTTTTACGATATAAACTATCTAAGTACTTAGTATTTCGGAAGCTCGTGTGTTTTTCGACAACTATTAAGTTACAGCGAGTGAGATTTAGATACTTTAAAATAATATTTAGTAATATGGAACGTTACTTTTCTAGATTAATCTCAGAGGTATATAATTCACTTTATACTCTTCTTTGAAAAATGGGAATCCACCAGACATTATTGCAATTTAATGATAATTAAATCATACCTAAATGTATGTTTATTCTTGGATTGCCGGTGTATATTTATAATCCATAAAATTTGTCTATTTATCGATTCTGAGAACAAAGATTATATTCTCGATAAATTGCATTAATTTAATTGTTATTCTGGTAAAGTTTGTTTTTCAAATCATTTTAAATCAATCATGTAATTTTCTAAGATCCAGATTATTTTATTCTATGTGCTATTTCAAACGATATTCCCATGATTATAATCACACAAATTTAGTTCAATATGGTTTATTTTTTTTTAAATCATATTTCAAAATTATACGTCGATCCCTAATATTTTGGATAACATTTTCTAAATTAAGTAGAATAAATTTTTTAAAAAGTATAGCGGACATAACGTCGTTCTCTTCGTATTTTCATTAAAAAAAATAAAAATGAAATTCATCAACGTTACTTTTTTTATTTCGGTTGAAATATCATCGAACTTTGAAATCTATTTATATCTATCTATAGTATAGTTGATAGTTAGTTTGATCAGAAATGCTATTGATTCGGATAAGCTATAAAAAAAAATAACAAGGAAAGCAGTTTGCATCCGTTTTTTCACTCGATTATAGAATGAAAGCTCGATCGAAACAAAAAAACCTCTTTTCATTCCGTCTCCCCCACTCTCGATTAGAAGTGAGCTTCCGTTTGTCGCGCACAAACATTTTAGCCTGTCGCTGGAGGTGAGAGCAGAAAAAAAAGAAAAGTATTTGGATTAGCCGTCGAGTGGAAAGTGAGAAAGAGCGAGAAATAACAGCAACGGCTTTAAAGTCGTTTATCGAGAGAGACGAATAAAATAAGTCTAAGAGTAGCTATCGCATTATTCTGCAGTGCCAGTTTTGCTAATTCGCTCATTGGACATCTCATTTGCCTTCCTCTTCTTAAGAATTTTGCAAGTTTACAAAGTACTCGTCGAACGGCTTTTACCTTGTCTACCTTCACATAGTCGTCTTTATAGATTCTTTAGCCTTTTAACCGTTTAATACTTTTCTCGTAGTCGATTCTTAATCTCTGCTTTGCTAATTTTTTTATGGCTTAGTATATATTTTTCATGAAGTTTTTCACAGTTTTCATACTTTTTAAAGCAACTGTATGACATATGCTACTCTCTTACGGTGTTAGTTATACTTACCGAAAATTTTTAAGTTTTCAATATGCAAACATATCGAGTTTGGCTTACAAAAATATGACTTCTATCACGTGTTCACACATACATCGTTAAATTTTCTTTTGACTCAGTGTCAGCAAGTATATTTTTTCTATATCGACCATACTATTCACACGTCAGATATTTTTCTATACCTCTTACATTGTTTCTTCGCTATCGTATTTCAAATTGCTCGTCTTCTAATATCAAGTCTATAAATGGAGTTAGGTCGATAAACATAAAAGTAAAACTGACCTTCGAGGGGGTAGCGATGATTGCTCGGAGCTCGTGTAGAAAAGCTCCGAAGAACGGTACCACCGGGCATTCCGGCATCGCCAGGGCACGGGCCAGGGCATTGTCGTATTCGGAAGACAGAAGAGCGGAAGATAGGTATTCCAATACGGTGATCGACTCGTTGACACTTTGCCAGAATGGCTTCAAGTTGGCATTTCTACAACCAAACGAAAAGCAAAGCCAAATAAAAACTGTACCTGCAGTCACGTTGCAGACCACTTTGCCTTTAGTCCTTATTTTTGTGACCGTCCCTTTACTCGGTAAACAACACGTGACCTCGTATACATAATCGAACTTTCGCGGCAAACTGTTGTTACGTATCTCAGGCTGCTATACAACTGCGAGCGAGCGAGCGAGAACCGCGGTGCGAACTTAGCAATTAACTGGATAAACGGCCAAGTCCAAGGAAAAATACACGAAGAGAAAGTTGCTACAATCTCTGAACGAAGTCCGCGAACTTGTTTTTCATTCTTTCTCACTACTCCTTATAATTTACGAGGCCAACTTTTCAATCCATATTTTCACATTGGCGAGACCATTTGTACGCACTACTTGGCGGCCTTTAGATATGAATTCGGAATTATCCAGGCACGAGGCAAACTTTTCCAAACAGGGTACGGCGGCTTTTTTCATCAGGAGAAAGTAAATTGAGCAACGAAAAAAAATCCATACGCCACACGTGGCACAGGCAGATGTTGATGGAAGAGAACTCTCGCAAAATTTATAGCTAAGGAAGAGGCGAGAAAAAAAGAAAAACAGGAGCGCTTTGCAATAATTACTTTCGCTTCAACTTTCATTCGCGTGCAGCTGCTGCTATGTACGACATTGCTAGAGCGCATCGTTATAAGTCGAACCGCACGGTGTACGTGATGTATGGGGAAAAGAGGTCGGCATTACAGTCCGATAAAAACTTTACGATCGTCTCCGCCTTCGGGAGCAAAAAAAAAAAAAAAAACAGAAAAAAAGAAAAACAATCGACGAGTTAACTCTATGCCTTTTGTTATTTGTTGCTACTTTGGATGTAGTTACTTTGTTTCGTCGAATAGTTTAGTTGAGCAATATATTCTCTTTTCTTCTTTCGGTTGTAAATGTTTCTACGACTACTGTTCTTGTAATTGACTTTGAAATATATGGCACGTGGGCGACAAATCGATGTAGTAGAAAAATGATTTTTATATATACCTTTTAATAAATATAGATGAGCTTACTGAAAGTATATTGAATACTCTCGACTTTGTTATCAAATTCTCATTATTATCTTATTTTGAAACGATCAATAGCCGATATTTCAACCTTTATCCCGATATGACTCGATAAATAGTAATTTAGCTTTACGGAATTTTCCTATTCTCAATGAATTGCGTGAACAATATATCATCCTAATATATTTTCAAATATGAGAAAATAATAACAGAAATATTTCTGTCATATGTGTGAATGACAGAAAAAATAATTTTTTGCGACCTTTTCGTTCGTTTTTTTTTACATTTCAATACAACATTTTTTGTAACTATAATCCTCAAGTGGTACTTTTTCGCTTGGCAACCGTCGGAATATTTACCAACTAACTGTTTTTGTGAAACATAACTATTCAAGTAGACGTAGCAAAAGTAATTGTTTTTTAAATGAATAGAATCAACAAGAGTGTACGTGACACTGATTTTCAAGCGAATACCGTTAGGATTTTTTCACAGCATTTTACTGCAAGTAAATTCAATAAAATTACGAAGTATGTAACTTGCCATTATTATAATTATTATTTTGCTCGTTAAACTCAATTGAGATTAATAACTTTGCCAAAATTAGTATTACAGCAGGATAATTTGTATAATAAAAATAAATTTCTGAATTTCTCTGAGAAGTTTCTCTAACAAAGCATTTCATTTTAGAGTAACAAATGGCCGTATTTATATTTAAATTAACGAGGTTTGATATGCACTACAAAATTTTTCGTCAACAATGTAAGAAAATCACACACCAAAAAAAGAAAAGGCCGAGAGCTAAAATGTACATGAGAGAAGCGAAAGGTTTGTTGAATTTTCCTTGGCCTATATAAGTGCTCCAACTGGTTGGTGGACGAGAGATAGGATCGATTTTCTATAAAGCTATAGATATACGCTTTGCGCGTCGAATAGTAAGCTTATCCAGGAGAGGAACTTGCCCAGTCTCTGGCCATATATAATAGGGGATCCGCGGGCTGTTGTTGCTGATGCCTTTCGCATTGGCGCTGGTGTGCGGTTGCGCCCTCCGTATACTGGAAATGCGAGCGGCAGCGTCTTAGCGAAATTTCAAAGTGGTCGGATGTACAGCGAACTGCTGCGGTTGAGCATCGAAAGCGACACGAGAGTGCTGCGCCAAGACAAATGGATATAGCGAGGGCGTGGATGTGAACAGCAGCGAGTAATGATGAGGCGCAAAGTGAAAGTAAGAAAGTTTTTGGTGGTAAAACGAAAGTTTGTCATGCTTGCGGCTACTATACACTATTACGATAGGCTATGGAATTGCCCTTTTTTAGAGACATGATCTTTTCAGAGAAAATGACAACATGAAAGTTTTAGCACGCAAAACAAAGTTGTTAATTTACTTTGCGTTTAGCCTCGAAAAGGGACCGAGTAATAATGAAGGTTTCGCATGACTTTCTAGAATCGATAAACACATATCAGCTTACCAATTCATTCAACATTCTGATGGACTCTAACTATGTCAAATTTCAAATTCGCAAGTTAACTCAAAGGGGAAAAATAGTAAAGATAAAATACCCAGTCGAATAATTAAAGAGAGTAATCGGCGAGATAGTGAAAGTGATAAAGTCGCTAGCAAAGTGCAATTTGGTAACTCTTCAGTCTTAAGAGGAGAGAGGCAGCTTATGAAGTGATATCCCGAGCGTCAACATCGAAAAGTTGTATGTGTGGCTCGAGAGAGACAGAGAGAACTGCCAGAGGGATGCGCTCGGACGGAAATTGAGGCTGCTCGTAAAGGTTTACGGACGCCAGGCTAATGGGTGCACCCGGAACTTCCGCGTCTAGTACACGCTTGCGCAAACGCGCCAGCGCACGTGTGCAATATGCCCGGAAGAGAGAGTTGAAGCCCTTTTCCATCTTCTAACTGACGATTTTAATAATGCAGCTGGTGCCACTTTTTCTTCCAAACTTTTTTTATTAAGGACCAGCGTCTTCGAAATTTCTCACCCTCTTTTATTTTAGAGAAAAATTATTGACTAGTTTTAATTGATCTTATTTTTCTGCCGCCCTAAAGGGAAAAGCTAACTTCACTTATTCTTACATAAATAAAGCTTGTTTGAACTAGCCACATGGTTCATAAGGAAATTGTAAAATTAAATCTCCCGTAATGAAAAATTTAGACTTTATATTTTTGATCGAGCAAGAACTTTGTGTATTCTTGCTGTTGATTTTATTTCGGTATTTGTAAGGAGTACTTTCTAATAAATAAATGAATAGGCTCCACTATTGGTGGATTGAAGCATTTACCGTTAAGTAGCTGGTTTTAGCGAAATGCATAATTTTGCGGAAATTAATTTCACTCTACTTGCTACGCATCTTTACTTATCCGGCATCTTGATATTTATTATTACACTTTCGCGGTTGCGCGGATTATTTTATTCAATTTTTTAATATTTGTTTTTCTTTTCTGTTTATATTCACCCACGCGGACCTCTAGAGGATGAGAAATAAATAAAATATTCATAAAAGCTGTTATGCCATAGGATTTTTTCAAGCATTACATTATTTTTATTTTGGTAGGATATGATGTACTAAGTAAATACGAATAAGCAGTTTTTAACATTTGTTTTTTACGTGCAAGCTTCAATTTTTAAATCTACGGTCAACTTTTTCGCGTTAAAAATAATTTCTGGTCAAAAAACCACGAAAAAAAAAAAGAATTTACAGATACTGAATTTCCATACAACCTGTATTTATTAAAAATGTCGAGGTTACAAAAAGTGATTCATTTTTCAGGTTCTTCTCAGCTAATATGACTATTTTCTCTTTCTATTTCCAAGACTTGGCGCTACAATGGACGAACATGAATTAGTGTTGAAATCGTATCGCGAACGAGGCAATAGGTGGGTGTATCTGTGTGTGTGTGTGCGTGTGTGTGTGTGTGTGTGTGAGTGTGCATGTGAAAAGAAAAAGCTCAAGTAGTCAAGCGTTCAAACGTTTTCTTCTCCGTCTTTTTGTCTCTGTTTGCTGCGAGTAGCTCAAGGGAGCACTCAACGAAAAATTAGTTCCCATTGGATCGTGTTCATTAAGAGGCCGCAAAATAAATATATCAGAGTACGGAGGGAAGAGGCGAGGGATTTACTCTTCTTTGGTCGTTTTACAGCGACTGCTAGGGAAGGTAAAATCGCGTTGTTTCCGTAAACGCTACTTTTATCTTGACACAGGCAGTAGTGTACAAAGGTCAGCCTTCGGCAACGATTCACTCGCGCGCTATTAAACAGAGCCAACCGCTCTTCCTCCTTTTTCTCTCTTTTTCTGTTTCTCTCACTTCCTCGTACTCGACGCCCGTGCTCTGCGATTTCGCTTCCAGTTCCTGCTTCCCCGTAGACTCTGTGTTTCTATACGCCTTTTGTCTCATTACCACTTAATGCTTCTTCGATTTTCTCCACTTTGATTCTTTCTACGTACTTTGCGCGGTTCTACCGCGAGATCTGCCTTATAGAGGGCTTGTTATGCCGTTTTTTTTTACTGTTGGCGCGCCATTCAGATATAGATTACTCGACTCTGTCGCGACTTTTTTTAAGCTTTCGTTAGGTGAGCGTGACCCGTAATAATTTAATTTGACCGTTCTTTAATCGGATTTAAAGTTTATTAAAGCATCTTTAAGTTTCAGCACCGTTCGTACACGAATTGCCTTTACCAGAATTGTTTCGTAGAAAATGAAAAACAGGTTATGACGTACATGTGGCTCATAAAACGCACTTGCGTTGCTATAACTCTCTCAACGACGTTTCATCATTGTAAAATGAACTGCACTGATAAGCGGCGGGGAGGTTTTTTAATGTGAATGCGCATTATTATTGGAAAAGTTATTGAATAATAATTCCATACAAGGCTTTTGTCCGATCACGGTGAAAAAATCAGACGCATGAAGAACAAAAGATCAATATCAAGAGCAAGCGGGCAAATTTTGCGAGGAGTAATGCCTTAATATTACTAATTGAAATGGGTCAAACAATCGCACATCCATATCGAGTTATTCCGCGATTATATCGAATGCTAACTCCATACAACTTTCGGTTTTACTCCAGCAGTATATGAAGCTCTCACTGAAAGCACAAACAATACTCATTCAAAAATTGTCATATAGAATTGTCTTTGGAAAGGGCAACAATAGCAGCCCATCTAAAACTAATTCTGGACGACGGAGATAGAACCGTGGCAGTAGTCGTATCGGATGGCGATAAATTTTGAAAGCTTATCTAGACAGCGTTTGCCCAAGCGAACAATGTGAGACTCTGGCCGGCGCGGGCGCATGCTTGCATTTCACGAGAACCAAAGTCGTAAAATCCGTGCCTGCGATTGATTTGCCATTTCCCTACTCTGCGTACTTAAGCGGAGCTCTGCGAAGAATCGACGATATCAGCTCCAGAACGACCTGTCGTTAGCCGAACGTGAGCTGGACGATACGACCGTTAATAATTGTGCGTATACGATGCGTTTATGTCGCTCGACGCAAACGACACACGCGACTTTCAACTATTCGTTGGATCTTCATCTGCGGCACAGCTTTTATCGCGCGAGCGAAAGCCCGCCAAAACGACTGTCGTTCCCCAAAATTCGAGAACGTAAGGGAGAGCGAGGGTAGTTTTGCGAATAGAAAGGCCTATGTGCCGTTTTTTCGGTAAAAACCCTCATTCCTAGCTGGCCCTCTCCTCTCTCGGTGGAAACTTGGCGGGCGTAACAATCTTCCCTTTACGACGCCGAAAGCTCTTTTGCGCGAGCTCTACGAGAGCTTGTAACGCTTTATGAAGTTTTCATCCTCGAGCCTGCTTTGCTGGAAGTTTGGTTCCAAGTTCGCCGTTAGCCATTGTCTTTTACACGAAATAATGCGGCCTTGTTTTTTTCTGTATAGGTAGAAGAGCTGCTGAGAATACTCACTTGAAAGCGGCAACTATTTCCATGGCGGAATTAAAGTTGCCGATGTTCCAGCATGTCTGAGCCACTCTCACCAAGCACGAGAGCAGGGCCAATTTCTCCTCGCTGGTCGTTCCACTGTGTATTACGTGCACCACCCATGAGGTCACCTGTGAAATGCACATTATTGGCAGCAACGGCAAACAACAGGGCGGAGAGAAAGCGACGGATATTTACTGCGGAAAAACGATCAGCGAGATGCTGCACGTTGACGGAAGCTGTGGAGGTAGGCCAAGAGGCCTTGTCCTCGGTTTGCGTGTAACTGCTGGTGAAGCTCGGGCCGGCGCTTTGTTCGCTCGCCTGGTCCCTGTGTTGCTGTTGGTTTTGCTGCTGCTGATGGCGCTGCTTTGAAGTCCTTAAAGCTTGATAGACGTGACGGAGGTATTCACCTGGCGGCACCTGATAGAACAGTTGGTATTCGCTCTCCGCCAATCTAAGCGCCACCTCCTCCGGGAAGTGCAGCAGCTTTTGCAAATCCTCCAGCTCCTCAGAGCTCCGAGGCAGCTGCGGCTGCGGCCGCTTCTCCAGCTCTACCAACAAACACCAAACAAACCAAATTATAATTCACTTTCTCAAGCTTTTCTCGTTTGTAGCCATTTGTTAGGATTCATTGCTTGACGCAATGATAAGTATTTGCTTTTTTTCTGCCAAGTCGAGAGCGCGAGATTAATCGTCAAATAAAGGGAAGCATATTAACATATTCAACTCCGGATTCGTAATTTATCACTTGGGATGCTCCGTATCTTTGTCTGTCTGTTTGTCTCTCTCTCTCTCTCTCTCTCTCTCTCTCTCTCTCCTTGGTACGTTATCCAAGTATACAATGCGAGCTGTTGCTTCATTTCGAAATAAATGATCAAGAGGGACCGAATGATTTACAAAATTTTCCCTTTCGAAGCATCTTCGCGGGAGACAGGATATAAGATAAGAACAAAAATAAACTCTTTGACTTTGGAATGCTTGTTCAACAGTGCCTGCGAGACATATTTTTTTATGTATCTCGTTAAAGAAAACTTTGTTTTGTGCACTCTCGCGACTCTTTTGTTTTATACGCGGCGCTATAAAGCCGCGAGGTACAAAAGAGACGATTCCAGCGACAAGCAGCCGCGTACTGAGTAAATAAGTAAAAACTGAAAGATGGTAAGTTTGTTTACTTTTGCTTTGCTTATTTAATGGAGCTGGTGAGCAACGTCAAGTTGATTATTTGCATTAATGGGGAATATTTTGTACGTCTCTATTTCCGAATGATATAGTCTTAATGACAATTCCGATACTATTACTGGCGGTTTATCATTCTCCAATCGTCTAGCAATTGATTTTTACTGTTAATATGTTCAATCAAGTTAACTTGCCTGCGACAAATACAATACCAGTATAAATCGTATGGAGCGAGTATCGATAATTGAGAAAGTTAGTCGAAAACTCGAGGAAACGGTATAACCTCAAGTATAGTGGAATAAGAGGTAGCCCATTTTCCGAGGATTTGCTGGGTCAATATGAAAAGGCCTTCGCGTCTTTCTATAAGCGCGTATGTTTCTACTTGGCATTAAAATAGCCCAGGGAGATCTTAAAACTCAGCTTTGCACCATTATATATCCATCCATCCCTTTTTTCAGCCTTGTGCTAGAGCGAGCACGCAGCCGCGGAGTCAAAGTCTAGCCTGCTGCTCTACATGTACCGTTGCTGGGTAATCGATTTTTCAGAGCGAGGATGTATAATGCGTGTAGGCGCGATAGAACAGTTGACGGGAACAGAGAACAAACGATCCATTTGCCAACGGAGCTTTCAAACTCATCCGTGAGCTACCATGCATGATCGATGTAGCATCGACGACGACGAGCTTAGTTAGAACTGCTATTACTCTCTTGGGGTTAATATACTGCAGCTATTGACTTTTCAGCGGATTGCGGTTCGTCGAATTCGCTTATTGAAATTTGTATGCTCTTGATTGTGGATTGGAGCGAAGTTTAGTCTAGAGTTTGAAATGTGTTTCGTGGTAAAATAGTAGACTTTTCTTCTTTCGAGAAAGAACGTGATAATGCGGTCTTTTGTTATGGAACTGTAATTGAAGAGCAAATCTTTCATCTGCCCATTAAATGCGAAGTGGCTAGGCATTATAAGTTTAATTGATAGTTCAACAGATGAGCGCAGCAAAATTTCTAAAGTTTCAACAATAGGGATTCCAAAGTATTGCGAGAGAGAGAGAGGAGAGAGAAAGAGAAAGAGAGAGAGAGAGAGAAAGGTAACTTATTTTAGTTTCGCATAACTTTTGTAATTAAATTGTTTTTACCATTACGAGGCTTCAACCTCAAAGGTCAAAAAGTTTCTAGTTTACTTTGAGGAAAGTTTTCCATATAATTATACGCTTTCTTACAAACAAGCAATTATTTTCACATCAGCAAGTTATAGCGTTTGATATATTCGTCAATATATTCTTAAGTGTCACTACATAACAATATAGTAATACTGTCACTAGTAAGAATTTTTAGCAAAATATTTCATCCAAGTTTAATCCTAAGAGTACTTTTTTTTATTCGTAATCAATCGTTTGAAAAATAATATAATGCAGAGATTTTTGAAGTGAATGCACACTAAAAGTTATAAATTTGGAACTGGCCGAATATGTTATTGACGTAGCACTCTTCATGCCAATTTAAGGGTGAGACATTAAAATTCATGAAAGAAATTGAATAAATCAATAACTGTCAATGACGTTACGGTTGAAAATCTCTGAAAAGTGATACTTACGGCCTCTTTTGAATAAAAAAAGCTATGCCAAATTTTCACAAACGCAATTTAAATAAAGAATACCGCTCGATTGAATTACCATTAACCAACGTACCCCTGGTTAGTTGTCGCATTCAAGGCACAATTTAGAAAAGAACAATCAGCAGCTTTTTATCAAAGTAAAAAATGTTTATCATGCGCAAAGACGAACGACCCATTATTCCAGGTTCGGTTGACCATATCGACCGAGAGAATAAAAGAAAAAAACCTTGTAGAAAAAAACAAAATGTGGTCTACGTATAGAATTTGATTGCAACGCGCCTGGATAATTGTTCATGACTATAGGTGCGTGTGCGCCCACATCAATCATCAATTGAAAGTTGATCAGGTAACGGAATAGAGAAAGAGAAAAAGAAAAAGTGACGAGGCAGACTCGGTTGAAAGGCCAATTAGCGTGGCAAAGTGCCAAGAACCTGTCGTAGCGCGTTTCCTGTCAATATATAAAGAGTTTCTTTGATGACGGCGAGCATGTATGTTGTTCATTGGCGGAGTGTGCGTTTGTATGCATACAGGAATGTCTCTATTAATTTCGCGAATGGAAGGTATATACGCTAGGAACATGACTTTTCAGGTGACGTCGAGAAATTTTCACAAAAAGGGCAGGAGAAGAGGTAAACGTGGTAAAAGGGGTAAGTGAGAGATGTTTCATCAAGCACTCTTCGACGTTATATGAGCCTTTTTTTTCGTTCGGCGGGACTGAAAGCTTTTTGAGTAAATTATTCTTCTGCCGTGACAAAAATCCTCTTCTATCTTCTTTTATTATTCGTATAATTTATTTACTTCATGCTAAAGTTATTAAAGAATTTTACTTTTCAAAGATTGTTTATAGTATGCTTTTATCCGATTTATATTCTACTCATATTTTTAAAATAACAGTGATTTAAAAAATCACTAATATTTATTTTCAAACAACAAAATATTTACAATAAATATCCATCTGATGATTTCAATAGGAAAAAGATATAAAATACATTGCTTCGTCTATCCGAATAATACTAATTTGTCGCAGAGATAATGTACGATCAAGGAATTGTTAGCATAGACAGCCAGAAAAGTTGAGTTTGCTTGCAGAAGAAAAAAATCGTAGTAAAAGGGATGGTGTCCGTGGACGGAGCAGTGAAAAATAAACGTGAATCATCCATATATGTATATATATAATAGCTACATATCTATATAAAATAGCTTGGGGATCACCTTATCAGGTAATAGTGCAGGCCACGTGGGGTGGAGGACGACGTGGAAGTAGCTGCTGCTGGACGTCGTCGTGGGGGCTGCTGCGTGTTGGATCCTCTCTCACTTTCTGTCTCATGCACGCGCGCACGTTAGTCGTCGATATGAGGCGGATTGGTGGTGATGGTAGTGTGCGTGGCGGTAGTGGGAGGTTTTACGCCCTCGCTGGTGCGAGTGAAGCAATTGGGGCCTACATCGGAAGCGCCTCTATCTTCATCCCTGGCCTAATAAATCCTTGGGCGCTGCTGCTGGACAACCTCCACCAGCTTGGCTTGCAGTTGCAACCTGCGGCCAACAACGTCTTCTTCGCTGTTGTGATGCTCAAAGTGCCATTGGTACTCGACAACGAGCCCATCGCACCCTGCAACATACAAGCATTGCTCAACGTGAGTTACCGGCAATCGCTTCATTTGCTACGATTTACGACGTCCTGCCAATCTCTGATTTTTTCTCTCTCTTCCTCTCTTTCTCCGCCCCCCCCCCCTCTCCCTCCCTCAGTCTTTCTCGACGCGCGGCTTTGTTTTATGTTTGTCACGAGCCTTTGCTCTTTTCTCTCCTACTATTTTTTCTCGCTTTTCTTCTACACTATGAACAAGGTAAGGCGACGCGGCAAATTGCGTGCGTTCTAACGAAAAATTGGATAACTTTTTACTGCTATCAACCTCGGTCCTTATATACAGCGTCTTTTATAGCGGGCTTATAAGAAGTAATAAATGCTATATTAAAAGCTTTTGTTCCAAAAGTTTTTGTCGCATAAATGCATACACTACTTAGACTATAATGAACCATCTCTAAAAAAACTCTACTAGCTAAATGCTTGATGATAAACTGGAGGGCGTGTGTGTAGTGTAACGAGCTCAGCAGAAAGCAAAGGACAAATCGGATCCTCTCGACCACGCTGGCTGCCTCGTTTTTTCTTCTTTTACACTTCTCTCTTTTTCTTTCTCTCTCTCTATCCTCTCTTTCCCTTGTCATGCTGAATTTTCTCTGGCATGACACGATCGACCTCGTGAAAAAGTTGACGGCGAAGGGGGAGTGAAAGATCTACGAAACCATGCGTGTTTAAATAGTGGAAGTAACGAGAAAGCGCGGGGATGATTCGTGGGACTAAATTTGTGTTTGTTTCGATACGTGTTTACGCACACGTTTTCTTATTGATGCCACGGGGAAAATCTCCATGATAAATGTGGGGGAGGCTATTATCACACGGATAAGTTACCGACAGAGTGATAAAAATCTTTCCTTCCATTAGGATGTATACAACATTTAATTCGTTTCCACCATGAATCTTTTACAAGCGCTTTAATGCCTGACCAAACTTACATTTGTTCCACTGATGTTTTGTATACTACTGTTTATTTTGTTTAGCTACGATAAGATAACTCGATGTTGTTAAAGTCAACAAAATAATTATTTATTCTTTTTTAGAGAAAATTTTAAAGTAATGTCTTACGTTCGTTGCATCTTGCAAGAGCGAGAGAGAGAGAGAGAGAGAGAGAGAATGAGCGCGAA